TTGAGAGTCTTCAGTCATTTTGGAACTCTGTGCTTACAAGTATGTCTTTCTGACCCATCTTCTAGTGCCTCAAAAATGTAATTTTTCTAATTTTTTCTTCCTTAACTCCAAGCTTCACTTTCCTAGCTCAGGATCCAGGTATATAGTTTTGGCTCATAAAATATTTACTGTGGCCAGGCATGTCTGTAAGCCCATCACTTAGAGAGGCTGAGGCAGGGATGATTATGAGTTCAAGGCCATCCTGGGTTATATATTGAATTCAAGAATATCCTGGATTGGGCTGGGGATTTAGCTCAGTGGTTCTGCTGCCTGCCTCGCAAGCACAAGGTCCCAAGTTCGATCCCCAGTACCAAAAAAAAAAAGAATAGCCTGGACTACATGGTGAGACCTTGTCTCAAAAAAAAAAGGAAGTGATAGCACATGCCTGTATTCCTAGCTACTCAGGAGGCTGAGGCAGAAAGATCAAAAGTTTAGCCCAGCCTGGGCACTTAGTGCCTGTCTCTAAATTTACAAAAGGGAATGAGGATGTAGCTTAATAGTAGGATGGAAAAAGAAAAAGTAGTAGGATGGAAGGAGAGATAAATGTCTGAAATTATCCAGGGTCCTTAGTCTTCACACCATGTTTTAAATGACAACTTTGACCTAATTTATGACAGATACTTGGGCCTTCTGGGATAAATGCCACTTGCCTATTTCTGCTTCTTTAGATGCCTGTCTGCCCCCTTGTGGAGGTGGCTGAAAATGGAGAATTCACCCAATGACTAGATAAACTCATAGAGATATTAGAAATAATAGCTAACATTTATTGAGAGTTTACCACATGCCAGGCACTTGGTTCAATGTTTTTTTTAAATGTTGTCATTTACTTGTTTTGGTTTTGTTGTTGTTGTTTTTGTTTTTCTTGGTACGAGTGATCGAACTCGGGACCATGCGCTTGCAAGGCAGGTGCCGGAACCACCGAGCTAAATCCCTGGCCCCTGGTTTTTGGTTTTTGAGACAAGGTCTCACTATGTTGCCCAGGCTGGCCTTGAATTCCTGGTCTAAAGCCACCTTCCTGCCTCATCCTCCTAAGTTGTTGGGACTATAGGTATGCACCACTGTGTCCAGTCATATGTTGTCATTTATTCCTTAATAATTCCATATGGAAATTACTTTCTCAAGGTAAGGCAAAGAGGGTTTGTCACTCGCCTGTGTCACACGACTATCAGTAACTGATGTAGAACTCACGTTCAGGTCAGATTCCACAACTTGTGTTTGAAACATACTAGCTGTGCCCTCCAGATGCAGGTTCCTACTACATATGCCACTCTTGTCTTCTGACCTTTAAAATAGGAGGATAAGCAGGGACATCTCTAAGAAGGTTGGATGCAGGAAAAGTTTTTTCCTTCCAAACCCTGAGCTAGACAATAGTGCTTTCTGCCATATTTAATGCTCAGGCTCAAGGCCAGGGTGTCCTACAGTTGAGGATTCCTTATCAGTTTGCTTTGTCCTATCCTTGGGCAGACTCAACCAAATGTGCTGTCCTTGGACAACTATTAACAGTTGTGGTTCCTGTTCACACAGCATGTTCCTGTTCATAGAGTTTCTTGATCTTGGTAATACTTCTGTGATGTAGGAAAGCAGGTATCATTTCTGTTGCTGAGTTAGGAATGACTGAGACTCTCAGGCAGAGAAGGAAGCCAGTGCTTGAATCTAGATCTAACTTTTTTTCAACAGTAGGTTCCATATTCTGTTATGTCTGTATTAGTGATAGTGTTGGTACCAGATATTTATAATGTATCTTTCTTTGCTTTGTTTTGTTTTTTTGTACCTGGGATTGAACTTGGGACCTTGTGCTTGCGAGGCAGGAGGCAGAACCACTGAGCTAAATCTCCAGCTCTTTGGTTTTTTTGAGGCAGGGTCTTACTGTGTAGTTTAGCCTGGTCTTGAACTCACTATGTCGCTTAGGCTGGGTTTGAACTCATGGTGATCCTCCTGCTTCAGCCTCCCAAGTGCTGGAATTACAAGTGTGCACCACCATGCCCGGCTTAGTATGTTTCTTAAAAGCTATGTATCTGCATTAGCCATGCAGTTAGGGGGAATATGTTACAGAACAAAGAAAGTTGCCAGCCTGACCGTGTGATAAGAAAGTGTTGAGAAACAAGTAGGGTGTGGTGGTGCACATCTGTAGGCCCAGCTACTCAAAAAGCTGAGGCAGGAAGGTTACTTGAGTCCTGGAGTTCAAGGCCTATTTGCCCAACATAGTGAAATCCCACCTCAGAAGAAAAAGGAAAATGTTGAGGTAAACATGTTTTGTTAAAGGTTGAGCTTAACCATGGTACATGAGGTGGGTGGTACTGTATTTCCGGAATGTGACCTCCATCTTACTCAACATACTCACCTCATCCTTGTGGTTTTTCTTAACAAAGATTCTGTACCTTGTGTTCACTGTCTCCAGCCTCATTTTTATTAATTCTGATTCCTTTATTTGACTGCCCTTTTTACCATTGTCACTATCAGGGGAGGCAGGACAAAGAAAACTAATCAAAATGGCTGAGTGTCCCATTCCATACACCTGAATTGAGCCTAAGCTGCCCTGTCACCTCTGCTAGGAAAAAAGTGTTTGCGGCCAGCCTGGGCAACTTAGTAAGTTTGAGCCCAGCCTGAACTGCATAGTGAGACTATCTCAAAAAACAAACAACAAAAACAAAACAAAAAAACCCACTGACAGTTGATACTGACTTGGAACAAAGGAACTCTTGCTACTTACTGTACCACTCTTTCACTTGGATTTCAAAGAGTAAAGCCCACCACCAAAAAGGCGGCGGAACCACTGAGCTAAATTCCCAGCCTTTTTTTTTTTTTTTTTGAGACAGGGTCACCTTCTGTAGTTCAGGCTGGCCTCAAACTTTGGTGATCCCCCTCCCTCGGCCTCCTGAGTGCTGGGACTGCAGGCATGCACCACCATGCTTGGCTAGAGAATCTTAAATTTTAAGTTCGTAGACTCTGATTTAAACATTTAATTTATGTATGAGCATCTATTCTATACATAGCAAATACACCAGGCTATTGAATATGTTGGAGTCATCTACTAAGTACAAGGCATTATACCAGTATTTGAAAACACAGTTTTTCCTTTCTGTATCCTCTTTTTGCTCAGGTTAGCCTTCTCAAGCATGGGACCAAATTTGTCTGTCCCTCCTGGACTTGAGCTTTCTTTTCCTGCTTTCAAGAGCAGCAGTTTCTAAGCAGTTGTTACAGGCTAACCAGCAATGCCACCAAACACTGGCAGCTGTGCCCTTTTCCTTCTGATACACTGACTTGTCTGCTTCTATTCCCGTTGATGCCCAGTGACGTGACTTTGAATGGGGTCTCCTTTGGGCCAAGGCCAGCCGAGGCCACAAGCTGGGCATTCAGCAGATCAGTCCTTGGTCTGTCCTGGCTGCCTTCTGCAAGGGAGGAAGTAGGGGCAGAGTCAGCTAGCTGAGCCCAGGCTCACAGCCAAGCCCATTTCCTTATACTTTGAGCAGACTGTTCTTACTCATTCAGCAAGCATTTATTAAACACCTTTTGTGTATACTTGGGAGTGACCCCTCCTTTGGGAGAGGGAGAACAAAGCAGAGACCCCTTGCCGGACAGGGGCATCCTTAAAGAGCTCTTCTTTAGGGAACCTTTTCCGTTTTGACTGGAAGCCTGACATCCGCTGGAGCTCCCTGATGGGAGGCACCCGGAGATAGGAACAAAGAGACTGTTAACATTAATGAGATGCATTGAGTGGGTATTTCTGCAGTCTCCAAAGGAAGGCAGGTTTTTCCTCTTTCTTTTTGGAAAGTAACAGCTGACATGGACCAAATACAGACTATTTTTGACTCCCAGGACTCAAAGATGCTCTGAATCCTTTCTTCCGAATTCCTTCCCTGCTGCTCTGCCATTTATTATCACTCTCCAGCAGCCAAATAAATAAAGCCTTTTGATCTTCACCCAGTCAGGCACCAGAGTAAACTGTAAACAAAAGTGAACTTGTGACATGGGGATGGGGAGAGATGTGGGCAGCTTCTTCCTCTGCTCCTGAAAAAAAAGTGTCTGTCCTGTCTGCTGTCTGAAGTGGGCATGGTACCCCACTGCTGAGGCACAAGGGGAAAGCTGACCCTCATTGGCCACTACATACTGAAGCTTAAGTCACTCTGGATACCCTCTTTATCAGGGTGTCATGAGAAGAGTCCTACTGGCCACAAAAGCTGTCATGCAATCCTGCTTAGAGCCTTCAACCCCCATGCCAGTTTGGCTGGTAGGAACGTAAGAGTTCCATGTAGCAGAAGAATTCTTGGTTACATCTATAAGAATTGGCAGATTCTGGCTCTCTCTGATATGGGACTTTGCTGGATGTGATGATACACACCTGTAATCCCAGCTGAGGCAGGAGGATTGCTATGAGTTTGAGGCCACCCTGGGCTACTCACTTGAAAGCCAGCCTGATCAGAGTGAGAGCGTGTCTCAAAAAACCAAAAACCACAGCAACAAAAAAGAAACTAGGTGTGGTGGCACAAGCCTTTGAACCCAGCATTCTGGAGACTGAGGCAGGAGGATCACAGCGAGTTCAAGGCCAGCCTGGGCTCCATAGCAAGACCCTGCCTCAAAAAAAAGGGGGGATTTAGGAAGTTACTTTGCCATTCTGTTTTTTCGTTGCTTCATTTATAAAATGGAGATTCTGAGTGTACTTGCCTCCTACAGCAGTAGTGAAGAAAACTGAGATAGACTACCCCTTGGCACAGGGACTGGTGCTCACTATATGTCCTTACTAAATGCCACCAGTACTTGTTATTGTGGGGGCTGAGGCTGGATCTAGAATGAAGGCTACAGAAACCTAATTTTCATGCCACGCCCTCAACAGGGGAATCTAGAAAGGCTGGTTGGCTTGGCACTGATGAGCTCCCTCCCTCTTTGCTCTCCCTCTTCTCTCTCTCTCTCTTTCTCTCTCTTTCTCTTTCTCTCTCTCTCTCTCTCTTTCTCTCTCTCTCTAGGGGACACTACACAGAAAATGAGAACTGCTCACTATCCTACCCCAGCCGAATTGGACGCGTATGCTAAGAAGGTCGCAAACAACCCACTGACTATAAAAATCTTCCCCAACAGTGTGAAGGTTCCCCAGCGGAAACACGTTCGTCGTACTGTGAACGGCCTCGACACATCAGCCCAGCGCTACAGCCCCTACCCGACTCAGGCTGCCACCAAGGCAGGCCTGCTTGCCATTGTCAAAGTGCCAGCCAAAAGCATACTCAAGGACTTTGACGGCACCCGAGCCCGGTTACTACCTGAGGCCATCATGAACCCCCCAGTGGCACCCTATGCTACTGTGGCACCCAGCACTTTAGCCCATCCCCAGGCCCAGGCTCTGGCCCGTCAGCAGGCCCTGCAGCATGCACAGACCCTGGCCCATGCCCCTGCCCAGACGCTGCAGCACCCTCAGGGTATCCCGCCACAACAGGCACTGTCTCACCCTCAGAGCCTCCAGCAGCCTCAGGGCCTGGGCCACCCTCAGCCCTTGCCCCAAGCCCAGGGCTTGGTCCACACTCAGGCCCTGGCCCACCAGGGTCTCCAGCACCCCCCCAACCCCTTGCTGCATGGAGGCCGGAAGGTGCCAGACTCAGATGCCCCCCCGAATGTGACCGTGTCTACCTCAAGTATCCCCCTTTCGATGGCGGCAACTCTGCAGCACAGCCAGCCCCCGGACCTGAGCAGCATCGTGCACCAGATCAACCAGTTTTGCCAGACGAGGGCAGGCATCAGCACTACCTCAGTGTGTGAGGGCCAGATCGCCAACCCCAGCCCCATTAGTCGCAGTCTGCTCATCAATGCAAGCACGCGGGTCTCGACCCACAGCATCCCCACACCAATGCCTTCCTGTGTGGTCAATCCCATGGAGCACACCCACGCGGCCACGGCCGCATTGCCTGCTGCAGGCTCTGTCAACCTGCCCACAAGCATCTCTCGAGCCCCTGCTGGCTACCCTAGGGACCTCAAGCCAGTTGCCTGGAACCAGCACCAGCTGGTTCACTTACAACAGATGTGCAGCGAGGCTGGTGGGACGCCAGCCCCTGGCCTGGCAGGCAAGCATGCAGCAGGACGTGAGTTGGCAGGGCCTGGCTTTGTGGGCAAAGCCCCTACCTACCCGCAGGAACTCTGCCTGGCACAGTCCTTCCATCTGAAGCCACCCCTGGAGAAGCCAACCCCATCCCCACCAGTCAACGGCCTGGCAGCCCCACTGGCCTACCCTAACGGTCACTACTTCCAACCCCTGTGGAACAACATTCTGCCCACTCCTAATAGCGACAGCTCGGGGTCTCAGGACCTTGCCATGCCATTCCATGGCGGGCAGGCCACAGGTGCACCCCTTGACTGTGCAGCAGTTCCTGGGGCCCACTACCGAGCAGGGACTGGGGGCGGTCCAGTGGCAAGCCAGAACAGCTTGATGCAAACAGTGGATTACCTGAGTGGGGATTTCCAGCAGGCCTGCTTTCGAGAACAGAGCCTGGCCATGCTGAGCAAGGCCCACCGAGCCCCTGGCAGCCGAGCCCCTGACCCCACAGATAGTCGAAGTCTTCATATTCAGCATCCGGGGTATAGATAGGGAGGCATGGTACTTTGCTGAAGCAACATGTCATACATCTACATCGCCCTCCTAGGTTTAGTCTTACTTTTAAGTAACTGGATAGTTTCAAAGTTTCGCTGCTCCAATGTGATCATTCTTAGATGTCTGAGGAAGGGAACGTGGCAGGAACTAATTGGGGGCAGAAGAGGTCCTCTTAATCCTCCCCTCCAGCAACTTGTGTTTTTATCTTAGAACCTAACTCTAACACTAGGCTTTTATCTTCTCCACTGCCTGCCAGGCTCTCCACCTCAGCCATTTCAGACCATCCTCCCATCTTTTCCTGAACCTCTGACGAGAACTGGGATGTGACTAAAGGAAGGGGCCTAGGCCCCTTCGCTCTAGGCCCTTTGTCTTGCTCTTTGGGATTAAGAAGCCAGACTTTCCAGTGCTCTAGAAGCTAATTCCTTATTCACCCAAAGATCTCAAATCAAAACTAACCCAATCTTCGTCTCCTTTCCCTTACGCAAGGCCATAGCCTTGAAAAATGGAGAAAAAACCCTTTCTATTGGTGTCTTGGTTCCTGACTTTCCTTCCAGACGTAGCAAAATGCAGTGGGCAGCTGGCATCCCAAGATTCCTTCTCACCATTGTCTGTCTCCTAACTTAACTGCTGTTCTCATCCCTACCCCCCTTTTCCCTTCAAAAAAAAAAAAAGCAAAAAAATAAACTACCTTACTTGAGAAATTAGGTAGGTGAGGGATGATCACATTGGAGTTTGGAATTAAAAAACACCAAAAAAGGAAAAAAAAAAAAGTTAAAATGCATTTGGTTCTCCCTACACTGGCTAAGAATATTGCTCTACACTGTAAGTTTTAAATGTCATGTTTCTGTATGAATGTAGTGAGGGTTTGAGTAGCAGTGTGTATGAGTGGCCCCACAGGTACACTGACCCTCTTAATCATCTCCCTTTGCAGCCCCTCAGATTAATGAAGGAGAAAAAAAAAAAAAAAACAACACAAAGCCTTAAGCTCTTTGAATTCTTCCTCTACCAAATGAGCATGGTTGTAAACTGCTGGAAATGGGCCTATGTTGGAAACAGCCCTTCCCGCCCCTGCCCATTCTTAGAGCATCCCCCATCCACTCCATGCTCTGTCTCATTCCTAAGTGATAAATTAGTTGGCTAGAAATGTAACTCTTCTCTGTAACTTTATATTTTATTGTAAATCTTTGCACCCCTCTTCTGATAAAAGATGCAGTTGGGCTCTGACATTTTTTTAAAAAAACCAAATAAGCCCTTACTTTTCCTCGTTTGGGGGAATGTGAGCTGATACTGAAGGTTTTGGGTTCTGTTTACTGTCCACTCTTCTTAGCCAGAAATTCTCTAGTGATCTGAAGCAGTGTGACTGAAGACCAGTTTTTAAATTATGTGTTGGCAAGTTGCCTTATGTTTAAAAAAAAAAAGCCTGATTGTGTTATGCCAAATGATAGCAACATGAAGTCCTAATTTATTGTCCTAATTGTTTTACTGCCCTCTGTGAACACTGGTACCTCCCTGTCCCTGAGCCCTCAGGAGCCCCTGCAGCTTCTGGTACAATGCCTTCTCCCCAGGTGTTGACTACCGTCTTTCCCAGGGTCCCCTTCCAGGTCCCACTTTTTGGAATCAAACTTAAAAGAGCAGTCCTGTCTCCCTTACCTCTTGCTTGATCTCCAAATCAGATTTTCTTGCGGAAATCCCCCCCCCCCCCCGACACACAAAGCCTCTCCCTGAAGCTGCCACTATAAGAAACTGGACCAGACACCAACTTGGCTTTAAGTCAACCTCAAACCCATCTCTTCCTGTGTAGGGGTGCAAGTTTCTGAAGCTCACTCCCACCCCTAGTCTGCATGGAAAATGTACTGCCCACCCCTACAAATGCCCTCATCTCTGGTGTGAGATGTTTCCTAGTTCAACCTGAGTCCCCCTGCCCCTCTGCCAGCCAACCCCTAACCAGCAATAAAGGTCCAAGCCAGGGCCTCCTATCTATACTCTTTGCCTCCATCCCGTGCCATCCCTAGGGAAAACCTGGATTCCCCACTCTATCCATATACTGTAGCATTCATTCTCCATCTCTCACCTCACCTGTGGTGGTTTATGGGTGTGATGGGGTTTTTAAGATTATTATAAACCAGTAAAGAGAAAAAACTCACCTTTTGACCTTGTCCTATTCCTTTAATGCAGTGAATGTTTGAGGTGGTTTTTTTCTTATCTAGAAGGGGACTGATTCCTTTGTGTGATGGTGGTACCCAAGTCCTCCCCAATGCATTACCCCAGGTAAGGTGCTGGGCAGTTGTAGGGTATGACTAGACAGTTCAGTCAGCAGCCCTGGGGTGGGGGTGGGGGTGGGAGGATGATAGCCCATGTTTTGCCAGGGCCTCAGTGTGCAGTGATGGATGAGTATGGTTTGCTGCCTCACTGGAGGCAGAGTCCTACCACATTTTCACTCCAAAGGCATCAAAGAAATGTCATCTTAATTTGCCAGTAAAGCCAATGGAAAAATTTAAACCTTTCTTCCTCCAACACTATTTCTAAGGGTCTAATGGGTAAAGGTAATGAGTGCTATAATCTGTAACATGAAAACTGCCCTGCCCTTTGTGATTTGAATTTTCTCATGTATCAAATAGGAAAACTTGTCCTTTTATCTACAGGGGAAATAAACCAAGAGATATTTGAACTACACTCCCTTTTCTATTGGGTTTAGATTTAAGCCAAAATGTGGTAGAAGTAAAGATTGATAATATAGGATATAGGATTCAGGGAAGATGAAAAACCCTTGGTACCAAGACTCAGCTCATAGCTTTCTGAACACTGGTGGAGTTCAAAGCACTCTTCCCTCCTCAGTCTCCCCTTTTTTGTGGGTGGCCATTTATTAAAGTGCTTTGCCTTTTACTTATGCTACCCTAAGAAAGCCCTCTAAGGTCACACTCGCAGTCTGCTCAGGGTCAGAGTAGACAGTGATTCCTGGGGTGAGGTAGGTGTTTGGGGAATCCAGCTCACAGTGATGCAGAATCTGACCCAAGTTCCACAAAGTATGACTAGCACTGGAACGAGGGCCAAGCCCAGTAGGCTGGCTGAGAAGGGTTCAACTGCAAGGCCTCGTTGAGATGCTGGAAAGGTGGTTTTGCCTCTTGCCTGCTAGAAGTAGCTCCTCTGCTAGAACCCATGGTTTTCCCTGCCAATTTCCAGGCATCACTGTACCAAAGTGGTTTGGTGAGGGACCTATGCCCTAGAGAGGTGAACCCCATGGTCTTCTGAAGAGAAGACTGTAGAGCCCCACAGGCTGGCTAGCTCTGGCTCAGTCCTTTCCTGTCATCTGACAGAGGACTTTTCACCTCACCCTCTGTATGCAAGGAAAGATTTGCCCATGAACTTACCTTTACAGGTAATTTCCATACATTGGGCCTCTTCTTGAGGTGAGGCAAGAGAGTAAGGTACTTTATTGATTAATTCACTTAGTCACTACAACAAAATCTAGGAAATGAGCAGAACTCATTTTATCAGTGGGGATAGTAATGTACCATGTAACTATGTAACTTGCCAAAGCAAACCCAAATGTATTGCCAAAATTGGAAGCTACACTTCTAGGGACTGCTGGAATTTAAAACAATCCAGAGCCTGGGGTTGGAGCTCAGTAGAGCACATGTGTATCATGTACAAAGCACTGGTTGGATATTCAGCACCAGGAAAAAAAAAAGTCCAGCTCGTACCCTTAAATAGCTGAAGGAGCACTGATAATTCACATTTCTGTTCCTAGTTCATTGGTAAAATGCAAGTAATCACAGGTACCCATTGAGCCCTGTACAAAAAGTAAATGACTGCCAAGCATGGTGTCACATACCTACAATCCCAGTACTTGGAGGCAGAGGCAGGATCGCCGAGTTCAAGGCCAGCCTGCACTACAATTCGAGACCCTGACATTCGGATGAGAAAAACCTACGTAAGTGCCTTGGACATCTTGAAGGCCCCTTTACTCAGTGTAGTCCCTAGCTGTGGGCTGGACTTCACAGATGAACATTCATTAAACACTTATTCTATCAGGAACATGTATCGTCTCATTAACTCTCCACTAAGGCCTGCTTAAGATAGGTCCTTTTGTCTGCTATGGTGGCACATACCTATAATACCAGCATGTAGGAGGCTGAGGCAAGATCCCCATGAGTGAGGTCAGCCTGAACTACATAGCAAAACAAAGTCTTTATTATGGCAAAAGTATTTCACTTGTATTAAATATTGCACATAAAATGCTTAGCAGTGTTTACTAAGTATTCAGAGAAGCTGAGTGCACACCTGTAATCCCAGCTACTGAGGAGGCTGAGGCAGGAGAAATGCAAGTTCAAGGCCAACCTCGTCAACATCAAGACCCCGTCTTATAATTTAAAAAGGCTGGACTGTGACTCTGTAAGACTTCTTAGCTGGCATGTGCAAAGCCTTGGGTTCAGTCCCGAGAACAGCAGGGATAAAAGGGCAGGGGTGGGGGTGGGCAGTGAATACTAGGTATTGACCAAAGTCTGGTGGGGTGAGCTCAGGACTCCAGCCTTAATAAAAGACATACAAGCCATGCACCTCCTTCATCTAAACACCAGAGGGCAGTGGCAGATGACTCCCACAAGAGGCCTGCTACAGTTCTCCTAATGTCCACCAGATGGCGGTCCAGCAGGGCAGCTGGATCCTTGGGCCAGACTGGCAGACCTCTCCCATTGCTCCTTTGCCTTCAGTTGAGCCCAGCCTCCCATGGCCCCAACCAACCCAGATGACACAGGCTGGAACCAAGTTAATAAATAGAATTAAGGATTTATTAAAAACCAAGGCTTCCCCTGCTGTGCCCTCTTGGCACTAGGGAAATAAATAACCAGAGGGGACACAGCTGGGGAAAGGGGAAGAGAAATCAATTTCAAGACAGATTGTTTTTACTACCCCTCCCTTTCCCAACTCCTCCCCCCTATGGCTCTTGGGACATAGCACCTGAGCAGGTACCTCCATCCGAGAAAGATATGGCCGGCACCAAGGCATGTCTGCTCTGCCCAGGAAGGGAGACAGGCCCTGGGATTGCTTGTTTCCAGCCCTTGATAACCCCAAGACCTGCTCCACCCAGGGGCCAGGGCTGAAGCACCAATTGGAGGGACCTGAGGGTGGTAGTGGAGGGGGGCATGAAGGGATAACAGAACCTAGGCAGCATAAAGCAGCTGAAAGGGGGTCCGGCCCCCTTTCCAGGTTCAGCCAGTGTCTGACAGGTCACGTCCCATCCCTCTCCCCTCGAGCCTGCCAGGTCTGCACTCAACTGAGGATCTTCCGGGGTAGTTCAACAGAGGCACGGATGAATACTGCATCATCTCGCACATAGTTTCGCTTTCGGATGTCCTGGTGGGAGATGAACTTGGGATATCCAAAGCCCAGAGAACTCTCATCCAGGGAACCTCGCCAAGTGCCCGGCTTTTGGAAATTCTTCCAGTTTGGGTCAGGGTGGAAGGTCTCAGTGACATGTTGTGGCTTAGCCAGCCCAGGGTCACTCTGATCCAGCAGGGAGAAGGTGACACGGCGGGCAAAGGGCCACTCAAGGAGATTGTCAAAGGCACCTGGCAGCACACGAATGTAGAGTGAGAGATGTGTGCCCTCGCCACTGCCATTGCCATTGAGGAATGCAGACACTTGCAGCTTATAACCATACTTATGTGTGTAGAAGGCTGGGCTGAAGCACTCAAGGTTAGGTTTGGCCTTAGCCTCCTGTAGCCGCCGTCCATAGCTGCCAATCTTCCAGATGAGCACCCCATCACTGCCAACAGATAGCTCCTCCAGCTCTCGCCTCAGTTCCTGCAGCTCCTGCCTCTGTCGGCTCACCAGGGCACACATCATAGCCAGATGTGGCTTCACACTGTCCTCCACGTGCCGTGCCATTGCAAGCTTAGGGCACTGTTGGCAAAGCCCCAGGCCATGGGGGAAAGAAGGAGAGTTACCAGAAGGGTAAGGTCCAGGGTACAGGAGAGGACAGGAAAGGACTGGGGATGGGGTAGCATGCACCCAAGTCTGCATGAGGACATCAGAGGTGCTGGGAAGAAGCTGGAGCTGGCCAGGAGAGGGAAGAACTAATGCATTCACAACAGGGACCACCAAAACCTGGGTCACACCAAGGAAAGCTAGCCGCCATCTAGGACAGCGATGGGAAGTCTTTTAGCGTTTTCAATGATAACAAACAGCTTACTGCAGCATGTGTGCCATAGGTACACCATCACTGATCTAGAGCTTCCAGGGCTTAAGGGGCTCATAGAAAAGAAAGGGGGCATCTCACCCTGTGCTTGCAGCCGGAGTCTTTGAATGGGCACAGCACCAAGGCAGTGCTACAGCTGTCCTTCAGATGGCCTGGTAGATCCTCCCGAGCCACAGTACCCACACCACACTGGTTGGGACAGGGCACAGGCAGCCTTGGGCACTGGTACTGGTGGCTCTGGGACCACAGAGGCAGAGGCAGCAATCAATAGCCTAATTCTGTCACCTGCCCCACAGCCCACAGCTCAGAAAAGGCCTCACCTGGATGGTGTCAAAGACAAACTCCTTGGTACAGTAGGTGCAAGCCTGGGTACGCTTAGGGCACTCAGAGGTGGCATGCTGGGCCAGCAGTCTTCGCATCATGCGGGCACCACACTTGTTCTCACAGTACACACTCTCTTGAGGGCACATGCCCTCATGGGTCTGTGGAAATGCCAGGGGATCTGAGCTAAGGAATGCCTGGGTTATCAGGTGCCCCATCCTCCTTCACCATCAGCCAGGCCCTACCCACCTCATAGGCCTCCCCACTGAAGTCACAGCCACAGAACTCGCACTTGAGGCGCCGCTTGGGGCAGTCGTGCTGCAAGTGTGCAGGCAGATCACGGCGACTCAGCTTGGTAGGGCAGCGATTGGGGCAGGGGACTACATTGAAGCTGCAGGTATTCAGGTGGCCCTAGTGGGAAGGGCTGCAGTCAGTGCCTGCCTGCCAAGGGATGGGTAGCCCCAGCCCTTCCACATCAACCACATCAGAGCCTCACCTGTAGATGTCGAAGTGGCCCGCTCCAGCGGCAGCCCTCCTCACTGTGGATGCAGCGGATAGGCAGGCCTAATACTTGGACCTCCAGCTCTGGATCTGGATAGATCTGGGGGCAGGGATGGGGGAACTGGCCAGAGTCAGAGCCTGCTGCAGCTCCCACCTTCATGTGGGCTGGGTCTACCTTAGAGCCAGTAAAGGCTTCTCTGAGGCAAAGGCCTCTCAGGCTATTTGTTGTTCTGTGCCCAAGGAGTAAGGGCACAGCAGGTGGTGGTGTCTGCTTTGAATCTGGATATGAGTCCCCAACATGCCTGTACATGACAATGCTCCCTTTGGAGAAGCAGCCAAATCAGCCTGCTTAGTCCCAGTGTTCCCCCCATTCCACTTCCTTCCCCCTGGCAGAAGGGTCCTGGCCCTCAGCCACAGGTCCAATTTGCCACCGGAAGGGGAGGGAACACTTCTTGTGGGCACAGAGCAGCTCTGTGCACCCCCACAGGCTGGGCATTGTGCCTGCCCTCTAGGGCAAACATAGGCCTCCGTTTGCAAACTGGCCTAGTGGGAGAGAACAGGCTACCTTTATGGGGGCACACAATCCCAAGACTCTGGGTTGACATTGGCCCTGATCCGGCTGGCCGCAGGGAGCTCTAGGTCCCACAAAGGGCAACAGCCTGCCTGGGATTCTGTAGACTCACCTTGGCATAGTCCAGAGGAAGTTGGTCCTCAGGGCATTTGAAGACTCCTTCACTGAAAAGGGGAGAACGCATGGTCAAGGCACATCATTATGGGGAGAGCCCAGGCTCCACCCCCTCAAACAGGGCAGCCTCCCTCCCTCACCAGACCGGTTCCCAGCAGACAAAGGGGCAAGCAGAGGCACGAGGGGAACCACTCCAGGGCCCGAGAAGACCCCAGCCTTGTCCAGGAAAAGGGTGTCCAGGGCTCAGTAGAGGCAGAGACAGCTGCCTCCAACAGCACTTGGTCAACAGGTGGCAGCTGGCATCCCCTCCCCCAGGATAGCAGCTGGACTGAGAAAGAAACAAGCTGCCCAGTTACCCCCTCCCCCAGGGTGTTTTTCACTGGCCGGACTGAAAACTGATGGGGAGGGTGAGTAGGGATGGGCTGAGATTAAGTGCCAGGGCTGCCCAGCCCCCAGGAAGGTGCCAGGCCAAGAACAAGGGCAAAGGTCAGTTTGGGGCCACCTTATGCCATTCCTTCCCTCCTCTTTGAGGGTGTGTCTTCAAAAGGAAAGGGAAGGAAAGACAAGATTCCTGGAACTATATTTACATCTCACCAAGTCCTGACCACCTGCCTCTGAGAAGGGTTGGAATGTCCCCATGTACACGTGAAAGCATGAGCAGAGGCTGACAGGTGAAGGAGCACCCGGATTTGTCTGTGTAATTCCACAAGTCACATGGCTGTACTACCCCACACAGAACACATCACAGGACTCTACTACCTCTCACAGCACACAGAAAAGGGGCTGGAGCAATCCACACTGCACAGGCAAGCACGGCCAAGATCTAGTTACCGTTCCCTAGGCTCCTGAAGCTTAGTGACCCTGTGCCCCTGCCAGCTGCTTGCCTTCTCCACCCATCTCCACCTGGCTGTTAGCACCCAAGGAGGCCGGTGGCATTCTTCCTCCAGCCACCATGCACCTGCTGACTCCAGCCTGGACCAGTCACACATGCTGGGCAGGGCCCAGGCAGGGCAAGGGCTCACCCAGCAGGACTGAAGGCCCCCAGGCATGGCATTCCTGGTAGGTCTGAGTCAGGTGGGTGGGAGGTAGGCAGGCATCAAGGCGGAAGCAGAGGCTGTAGGCAGCCCTGTTTTGAAGGAATTTTCCAGGACCTGGGCAGTCCATGGTGTCCAAAATGATTTCCACCACCCACCTCCTCCCTGACCCTACTACCACTGGCCATGCCACCAATGCCAAGATCAATACATGCCCAGGCACTGAAGGGATGGATGTGCCTGTGCCCCCAAGGCAAGCAGTCTTCCTGGCCCAACCTGAGTAATAGCCCTGGCAGGAGTGGGGAAAGAAGGGTAGGCCAAGAGGGAGGGGGTCCACTTGGCTGCTTCAGGAATGTGCTGACTTAGTGGTTTTGGAGACAGGCAGGGGTCTAAGACAAGTCCTTAGGCTTCAGGCAGCTTACCTTGCAGCCTGGGGCCCAGCCAGGACAAAGGTTTGCCAGAGGTATGGCCAACCTAGCTTGTAGGATAGTTGTGATAGTGAGGGGCAGTGCTGGCCCAAACACCTCTTCCTTCAGAGGTGTCCGAAGGAGTGCTCCAGAGCTGGGGAAAGGGGAGAGGCACAGCAAGGGCAGAAGCTGCTCCAGGCTGTGCAGTGGAGGCCCAGGCCCAGGGGAGAAGACAGGCTGGGGGAGGGGCTGAGAGAGGAAGAGGGGATTTCCGGGGGGGAGGGGCAGAAGCAGCAAAGGGGGCTGAGGAGGGAAAAGGCCTGACAGCACCCGCCTCCTTCCCTAGGCTGTAAGTAAGGGTGGGTCAGCTGGAGGGGGCTGGCTCAGCTGGTCTCATCTGGAAACCAGAGGGGGCTGGAAGGACAGCAGAGACAATGGGCGCGCGCGCGCGCACGCGTGTGTGTGTGTGTGTGTACGTGTGTGTGTGTGTGTGTGTGTGTACACTGCAGGGAGCGTGGAGACAGGGGGAAAAGGAGGAGGAGGAGGGGGCAGCACAGCAGCTTGAGCAGGAGCATGTGTGAGGGCAAGAGTGGGGCGGCTTCGGGGACAGAAAACAAAGAACCTGATGAGATTTCCGCCAGCCAGGGGCTGCGGAGGGCCAAAGGGAGGGAGCACTCAAGCAGGAGCCATGGCCGTGCTCTCCCTGCCCGGGCCTCTCAGCACGGCAAAGAGCCTCCGGACAGCGGCTGTCCCCGCTTCCCCGGTGCTGTGCGGCCACGACCTCCCAGGAGCGGGGACTCCCCCTCCCTCCCCAAACCCGGCCTGAGAAGTTCCCAGAGTGCGCGGGAGATTCAAGGCGGCACGGGACGCCCAGAAACTTGATAGATGTCCCAGAGGCAGGGCTGACCTTAGTCCAGAACGGGCCTGAGAAGCCTTGCTGACCCCAGCCGACACCAGTAGCAACCCAGGTGTCACCCCCTCCTTAACGCTGTCTTTACCACCGGGCCCTCCCCGTACTCCATATCCCCGGGAAAGGGGAGAGACGCCCAAGGGATTCCCGCTTAAGGAGAGCATTGTAACGTAACAGCCCTCTCTCTATTGTGTGACTCTAAGCAGCCGGGACTTGAATCCCAGTTAAGCCTTCAACTGTATGATCCTGGGCAAGTCGCAGCCTTTCTCTGACTCTCGTTTCATCATCTGGGAAATGGGAGAATAACGGCCGTTTTCTGAGCCTTACGAAGAATCACAAGAGGTCGGTGGATGAAAACTCCAGATGCTTAACGTGCAGCTCCGGGGAGAAGGTTTCGTTCTTCTCTTCCCTGAAGGGTCACAGTTCAAGGGTGAGGGCGCCCTGGCTCTCAGGTGAGGGGGAAGGGCCGACCTCGGGTCGGAACGGGCATCTTACCCCTGCCCCGCGGAGAGGCACGGAGTTCCGCCTACTTAGCGCTGGGCAGATGGAACCCGGGACCCCACTGTGAGGGAGCGGGGTCCTCCCCGGGGCCTGACGTCACCGGCGTCCCGTGACGTCACGGTGGGCGCCCCTGAGGTCACGGGCCCGTGTCGAAAACAAAGGCCTGGCGAGCCTTGGGCCTGAGCCCCTCCCCATGCAGTGCCCTCCCTCGGCGACACTGGCCGTCCCCCGCTGCCCCGGAGCCGCACCTGAGAAACTCTTGCAGGCAGGTGTCACAGAAGCGGTGGCCGCAGGTCGAAACCTGCACGGGCTCGCGCATAGGTTTCCCGCACAGCGGGCACAGGAGCCGCCGCTTGGGCTTCTCCAGGAACTTATAGTCGAAGCCAGGCATGGCGGGCAGGCACGGGCGAGAGGGGCCGGACACTCGCGGCCCCACAGCCCGCGCCGTACTCCGGCCGCGCTCGGCTCCGGGCGGCGCCGACTGGCCGCCGCAGCCAGGGCTCGGCCCACTAGCCTGCCCGCCGGAAGAAGAGGCGGAGTCGCGCCCGCGCGGTCCTAATGCCGGCCCTGCGGGGCACCCCGCCCACCCAGGGAGCACTCAGCTTCTGGGTCCAAGGCAATCAGATTCGCCCCAGGCCACAAAAATGAGTAGTGTTCGCCCACTTCCGGAAATAGAGGTTAGCCGAGATAGGGGAGCAAGAGGGTTCTTCTGCTTCTCTCCATTGCTTCGGGCCCTGGCACTGAGATGAGGGCGCAGTGGGTGAGTGCGTATTGGGCTGCCCCACAAACCCCACAAACCGTTGCTTCTCCAGAGGCCAAAGTTCGGTTGGTCTCAGGAGCCACATGCCGCCCAGGGACAAGGGGCCTCAGCTTCCAGGTGCTAGGTATCGGAAGCCTGGCAACTAGATCCCAGAGCCCGGCTGGGACTTGGAGGCCGGGCTGGGCACTGGGCCAGAGGAACCTCGGCCCCAGCCGCGGGCTGCGCCCACATTCCTCCCTCCACCGCGCCAAGGCCCTGCAACCACAAAAGAGCCCAGCCCAGTCCTGTACTACCACCCCCACCCTTATCCCCCCCCGCCCCCCAGGAACCATATTCCAGGCGTGCAGTTGCTATTTTTTATTAGCGCTACTTTCAATCCTCTGAAAAACTGGTCTGGTCTTGCTAGCTACCTTAACCCCAAACGTGGGTCTGGGCAACCTAGACAAGGATCCTCTCTGCAGCCACTTCGAGACTGGCAGGAGAAGGAAGGTTCTCAGAGGCTATCCAAATCCTGGGTCAGGATAAAGGGGGTGATGGGATCCCTTGGACCTCCCTGCCCCAGGCCATGCAAAGGCTAGGGAGTACTAATGGCCTGTACAGGCAGGCCTTGACTTGCCCTGCTCTGAAGCATGGTGCAGATCTCCCATTGGTGACAAAATTTTTTTTGAGACAAGGTCTCACTAAGCTGCCCAGGCTAGACTTTAACTTGTGATCCTCCTGCCTCAGCAATGGAGCATACAGTAATAGCTGAGATCATAGGCCATCAACCCCTTTTAGGGGACATAAACTAACTGGCCAGGACATTTTCTAACTGGCCAGACACAGGACAGGAACTGGGTGAAGCCACAGATGCCTCTTTTAGCAAGGCTGTAAAGACCATCTGCCAAAGGTGTTCTAAGTCTTAAATGCCAACTCCAGCCAGGCTGTACTTGGGGACACTGCATAAGGGAAGAATGAGTAAGCAGGGTAAAGAGGGGCAGGGAAACCAGAGTGGTTGAGATTTCCCCATCCAGGGCGAAAAGCAGAGTAGTTTCACCAGCCCATCCCCACCATTCCAAAGTGCTGAGGCACTTCTTCAGAACACTTAGGAAGAGAAGAATTACTGTATCAGGGTGGTTCAGAGGTGCATCCTGGTGCCTCGGGGGGGACTGGCTCATCTGTGATAGCTGGAAAAGCATCAAAGAGAACCCCTGCAGCCTCCCAGAGGGCAGCATCTCCAGCAAGCATCACCCACTCCACTCCCACTGGGACCTGATGTCTGGACCCCATCTATCAAGTGTGCAGTGGACCTAGACAGTAAGAATAGAATGCATGTGAGCCCTGGGGAGCAGTGGAGGCAGCCCTTAAATGTGGCCCAAGAAATCCACCCCTGCCCACCCAAGCAGGAAGCTCAAGTTTTACCCTGCTGCTTCTGCTTTCATTCATCTGAGGGCTGAGGATGCTTTTGGTGATTTGAGCTATCACTGCTAGGGATGGGGTGGGGACCAGAAGGCAACTGGATTAACCCTTTTGTGGGTAAGGTGGAAAAAGGGAACTCACAGCGCACAGCCAGAAGAGTGTTTCCATGGCAACAAGATACAGAAGTCACTGTGTAAGGGTGCATCTCATCCAGCTGCACTGGCCGAGGGAGTCCAGCATCCTCATCCCTCCTTCCCAGTCGACCTCGGGCCCCTTTGCCCCAAGAGTACACTTCACCCTCTGCCAGAGAGAATCCCAAGGAGGGAAGTGGAGGGGCGGCACAGCTAAGCAAGCAGCTGTACAACCAGACAGCCATACTGGCTCCAACAGAAGGGTGCTAAGTCCAGTGGCCCCAGCATAAATTCCTCAGCCCCATGCCTCACCCTGTGGACATCATACCCACCCTCACCTGCCCCAATGGCTACAGTGAAGGCGTCTCCACAGGCCACCATTGCCATCTTGATTCCCTCAAGGCCTTGGACCTGACAGGGTGCCCGGCTGCCCCGGCGGGCATTGGTCCCCAACTGCCCATGCTGATTGCTGCCAAAAGTGTAGCAGTCACCTGAGGCTGTGGGGACAGAAAAAAGAGAAGGAAAGAAGTTACAACAGAGGTCCCAAAAAGGCCAGGTGAGTTCCCCGTGGGCCTCTGTGCTGAGGTCCTACTCACCAGTCACAGCAGCTGAATGAGCAGTGCCCAGGTCCACAATCAGCAAAGGTTCCTGGTCCAGGGGTGCAGATCGTAATGGTGTGAAGCTCAGAGCCTCCTCTACTTGCTGCTGGGGATCAGCCTCCTCCCCCAGGGAGAAGTGGTCCAGACCCAGCTTGTTGAACCTCAGGGCAGAGCCAGAAGCCAAATCCAAATGACAGTTTGTATAGACTGTCCTGCCTCCACCTATCTGGGCAGGGGCTGGTATGATCTGTACCACTTGGAGTCAGACCCCACCCTCACACCCTTAGGTTCTGGTCCTTGGTGGGAGGGAGGCAATGAGGAATGGAACACTTAGAGCCAAGGAAGGCGAGGGGGCAGACTAATCACCCCAGTGCACCTATTCACCTGTTGCTCCCACAGGCCAGGGCTCGGCCACGCACAGTGAGGATCATGGAAGAGTCAATGCCACATACAACCCATTGGGCTTCCTGTCCTGGGGGCATGGGCACCTGTTGGGGGCAGCTATGAGACTCCCTGGTGCCTAGTCCCAGCCTCCCTATAAGAAGAAACCGGGATAATGTTAGTTTGAGTTTTAGGGTTGGTGATATGAGAATGAGAAGAGCTACTGAGGATTGAACAGCACAAGCAAAGGCTATCCTCAGCCTCGAATGCCTCTCCTAGTCCTCTCTGCTAGTAACAATCCTCCTTTAAACTCCTCTTCAGCCAGGCGTGATGTTGAGCACCTGCAATCCCAGCACTCAGGAGGCTGAGGCAGGAGGATCACTGTGAGTTCAAGGCCAGCACAGACTTCAAAGTGAGACTCTTATCTCAAAAAAAAACCAAACAACCAAATTAAACTTAAAATAAATAAAAGTAAAGCCCTGTTCTATACCACCACTCTCTACTTTAGGTGACACTGCTATTCCTTGAATTCCCACACCTCCAAACCTTGGTGTGGTCGGCTCACATGCTGGAGGTGAGTCATCTGTCCCTAGCTGTAAACTGAGTCCTCTATGAGGACAGGAACCTATCTTTGTCATCTCTAGTTTCAGTGTCCAGCCTGATGCTCGCCCCAAAAAGGAGCTCAATAAATACTGTTGGACTGGGGGTTTAGCTCAGTGGTGGAGCATGTGCTTAGCCTGTGCTAGGCCCAGTTTTGATTCCCAGCACAGAAAGAAAGAAAAGAAAAAAAAGAAAAGGAAAGAAAAGAACAAAGAGAGAAGGAAGCAGGGAAGGAGGGAGAGGGAGGGAGGGAAGGAAGGAGGGAAGAAAGAAGGAAGGAAGAGAGAAAAGGAAAGGAAGAGAGAGAAGAGACGAGGCTGTGGATGAATGAAAACTCCCCTATTACGTCAGTCACAAGCACCTGAAGACAGCCACATCTTATTCATCCCATCTCAGCACTCAGAGTGGGGTAAGTACACAGTGGGTATAAAATGAAAGTTCACTGAATGAATGAATACAATTTGAGAGCCTAGGTGGAGAATGCGCCATGGGGTGGAAGGTGGGTATAAAGGGGAACCGACCATGTCTGAGTAGGCTGGGAGACAGCCTGGAGGCTGAGGCAGGGGTGGGGAGCCTGTAATCGCGGCACTCTGGAAGGCTGAGGCCAGAGAATTGCAAGTTCAACCCCAGCCTGGGCAACTTGGCAACTCTGCAAGACCCTGTCTCAAAAATTGCAAAAGCGTTGTGGATGTAGCTCAGTCTAAAGGTCCCGGGTTCAATTTCCAATATTGTGTGTGTGGGGGGGCTTACCTCTATCTCCTCGGCCCCAAGCAAATAGTTCTCGCTCTGTGGACAGGGCCAGCACGTGAGAGGCCCCACAGGCCACCTGCACCATCTCATAGCCCAGCAGGGCCTCCACAATGGTGGGCTAGAGAAAGGGAGAAAGCCAGGAAAGACTGGGAAGAGATCTGGGTCGAGGCAGCCCCCTGGCCTTAGCATCCCTCGAAGCGGGGGAAGTTAGAGGCTGCAAATTTTCAGCAGGTAGCTGTGTCTCTCACTCCAGTCACATGCACACACTGTCAGGTGGACAACTACTGGAAGCCTGGCCTTTCTGTACTTCCCCAGATGTGGTCTAGAGCAGGTGCAGCCCATAAGCTAGTAGGACAGTGGTTGCTGGGAACTCCCTGGCCCCCAGCCTGGTATCAGCTGTCTGATGTGGCCTCCTTGCCATCCCCTCACTTCCCTTTTCCAGGGTACATGTGACACCCACCTGGCTGATGTCAGTGAGGCTCCCATGGCCTAGGCACCCATTGCTGCCGCTGCCAAAGGTCATAATGATGCCTCGGTCTGGGGAGGACAGTGAGGAAAGAGAAAGGAGAGGACACAGGCTGTTTTTCCAGGTAGTTTGTCCACTTGTGGGTTGGAAGAGAGTAAGATAAAGTTGAGGCTACAGACAAAGAGTTAGGGTAAAAGGAAAGAAAAGGATATAGGTCCCTTCCTAGTCTGTTACTTGGGACAAGTGACAGCCTCTCTGAGTGGTAGTTTCCCTTTCTGTCAAATGGGGATAATACAATGACTCCCTTGCTGAGCCTGTTGGGTAGGGTAAAGGAGATGATATAAGAAAATCTCAGTAGCTAAGAAAATCTCAACAGCTAGTAAATAGAAACAATAATTCAGTAACTAGGAGATAGAAGCATTAACTGGGCAATTTGCAATAAGGTACTCTGCTCTGTGGGGCCTTAGTCCTCTGACAGGCTCACCAGTCAGGCAGGCCGTGAAGAGGTCCCCGCAGGCCACGTGCTTGATGGTCACGCCCGACTGGCCCTCCAGGAAACGTGAGAAGAACTGGGGCTGGGGCTGCTCCACTGCCCCAGGGAGGAGGGCACCTCCACTTGATCCTAGAGGTGGGGCCTGCAAAAGGAAAGTGGGTGGCACCTCAGCATCTCCCACTTTCCTCATGGGCCTCCTACCCTCACCTAGTCCAGGCCCACTGCCAACCTACTCACCTCCCATAGGATGAGGCGCCCAGAGCGTGTGATGCCGGCCTTCTGTGTGCGCCCTACAGCCACCTGGATCACCTCTGTGTTGAGCATTGGCAGCCGCAGAGGGGTGCTGAGCCCACCACCCCATGCGTAAACTGATGACAGTGGTGGTGGGATGGCTGGCCTCACAGGTCCCCGGAGAATACCTGATAGAGGGTGTGAGGTCAATTAAACTGCTGAAAATGGTAGAGAGTCTGCAGGGCTCCAGTGGCCTGTCCCAACTTACCCCTGCAGCGGGCACTGCTGCTCCTACTCCCTGTGCTGCCAGGTACAACAGGTGGTCCTGGGCCCAGGGACTTCTCTGCCCTGCAGAACAGATGGAGGTCTCAGGACAAGGACTCCCCAGAAATGGAGGACCTGTGGCAGGCCTCCTATGCTCCCACTGGGTACGTATGCCCCCCACCACCCAGAACCCCTCCCCCTGCACAGGCCTCCTCATTCGGATGCTGCCCACGTCGGTGTGGAGGTTGAGGAGGGCCCTGATGCAGAGGGGCTGTGCCATGATGTGGCTCAGTGGTGGCCGCTGCGCAGGCTCCAGGCTCAGTAGACTCAGGACCAGCTGGCGCAGCTCAGGGCTGTATCGGTCAGAGATGGGTGCAAAGGTGCCACTCATAATCTTTAGTACCAGTGCTGGCAGGTTCTGTGGAGGCACCAAGTTGAGTGGTGGCCAGGGGTTGAGTTGGGCTCTTAGGCAGAGTAGCACTTCCTAGCTCCAGCCTCACCACCACCACCACCACTACCACCACTACTACTAAGGGCACGTGCACACCACCCCCCACACCCCCACTGTGGGTCTGGAGGAGATAAGAGCCCTGCCTTCAGGAAGTAGGCCATGGAAACCTTGCTTTCTGAAATCTATAATCTGATAAATGGTCTGTAGTTCCATCCTCTAAAACCCCAGGCTATGGATAAAATTCAAGGCTCATTCTTGTGTGTGCCCCTAATCTGATGGGAGAGTCACAACCATGCCCTCAGGGAACGTCAATGTAATGGGGGAGGGGGTCCAGATTCCACCCTGAGGAACTCTGAGTCTGAGTCTGAGCTTGAGCCACAGCCCTGCCCTGGGGTTAATCCATCTGTCTGAGGAAGGAGAGACACCTCATCCACAAAGAAACAAAGAAGTGGTTGGATCTGAGGGCTGCTGGGCAAAGAGGGAAATTTCCCAGTTGTTCCCTTAGACATATTTCTACTTACTGCAGCCTCGAAAGCCCTCTTGAGACTGGCCAGCTCATACAGGACACAGCCCAGGGCCCAGATGTCGCTCTTCTGGTTATAAGGCTTGCCTTCACATAGCTCAGGGGAGATGTAGCAAGGAGTACCCACCACCTGCAGGAACAAAGCCTGAATTACAGCCCGAGGGAAAGCGGAGGCAGGGGGTCCAGCCAGAGGCCTATCTGGGGTCTGCTTTTCCTTAAAGCAGGCCAAGGGTTCCCACAAGAAGGGATCAAGGAGCCAGGGTGGGGGAGTGGCAGGGAGGGACAGGTAGAGATGTGGAGTAAGCCATGGCCCTCAAGACCTCTAGCACCCTTAAGGCACCCTCCATGTCCAGGTACCGTGTAGGCCTTGCTTTTGCTGCTAAGGATCTTGGAGATGCCAAAGTCACCAATCTTGACAACCATGCGGTGTTTGTCAAGAAGGATATTCTGGGTCTTGAGGTCCCGGTGCAGAATGAGGTGGGTGTGCACATGATGCAACGCGAGCAGGATCTGCACAAAGAAGTGCAGGATGGTCTCCTCCTCTAACAGAGAATTGCAGCGCTTTTGGATGAACTCAGCCAGGGTGCCACCTGTGATCCAAGGAACTAATCAAGATCCAGGCGCGCGCGTGCGTGCGTGCGTGCATGCGTGCGTGCGTGCGTGTGTGTGTGTGTGTTTTAAGATCCAGGTCTTTGCCAGACATAGTGGCACATGCCTGTAATCCCAGCACTTGGGAGGTTGAGGCAGGAGGACTGGATCACCCCAAGTTCAAGACCAGCCTGGACTACAGAGAGAGACTCTGTCTCAAAAAACCAAAACAAAACAAAGACCCAGGTCTTTTCACACCTGGGACACCTGTCCTTTTATGGAATAGGGCACTGGGACCACAGAGGGGAAAGCCTCTGCCAGGGGCACACAAATGGGCAATTGGGGCCAGAACTCTAAACCCATGACCCTTGGCCAACCCCATTCAAGGAGGAAGACCATCTGATCACATCTGCTTGTCCTAGGGGTGGGGAGCCCTGTAGCAAGGTTGATGCAAGGAAGCTGGCCCACCTGGTGCATATTCCATGGCAATCATGAGAGCCTTGTCCTCTAGGAAGTTCTCATAGTATTCAATGACATTGGGGTGGTTGAGCAGCTTGAGCACTTGGCACTCATTCTGGGCTGCCTGCCGTTCTTCCTTGGTCATCTGTTCCACTGGGATCTGTTTGATGATGACCAGCTTCTGGTCAGCCTTGCGCAGGCACAGGTGCACAATCCTGAGGATACAAGTACGGCAGAGCCATCAGCTGAGCCTCCAGCCACTTACAAGGCAGGGCAGACCTAGCAACTGGCTATTCCTTAGAAAAAGGTAATGGGCACAACCAGGCTAGGAGGTCACCTAACCAGGTGCATGCAACATTGAGCTTGGGCCAGGCCCTGTGGCACAGGCCTGTAATGTCTGCACTTGAGAGGGTGAGGCAGTAGGACTGCAATTTCAACAACCTGGGTCACATTGCAAGACACTGTCTCAAATAAAACCAAGCAAACAGAAAACCAAACAAAACAGAACATTGAGCTTTGGAACAGGGAGAACTGGTGACAAGGTCTACATGAGACCTGAGTTTCATCACAGGCTCTGGAATTAACTGGCTAGGTTCAAATCCTGGCTCCTTTTCTTACTAGTTATCTGGTCTTAGATATGATATAGTACATCACTTGGCAAATAGAATTGTTAAGAGAATTAAATCAGCATATGCCTATAAGGTACTTAGCATAGTACCTGGCACATAGAAAATGCTCAATGAGCCTCGCAAGCACAAGGACCTGAGTTCCATCCCCAGTACCAAAAAAAAAAGCTCAATGAAATAGGAGACATTCATGTTAGCATTTTATTTCAACTCTGTGGTCAGTGACTATAAAGGCATGAACTAGCTGGGTGGATGTGGTGGTACACGCCTATAATACCAGCACTTGGGAGGCTGAGGCAGAAGGATCCTTGTGAGTTTGAGGCCACCCTGGGCTTCATAGTAAGTTCAAGACCAGCCTGAACTACATAGGAAGACCCTGTCTTAAAAAAAAAAAAAGCAGGTACTACACTGTTCTTGTTCACCATAATATCCCCATAACAGCCCAGTATTTTGCACACAGTAGGAACTAAATAGGTATTTGGTAAATCAACAGACTATGAATTTATCATCTAAGTCTTAAATTTTTTTTTTTTTGGAGACATGGTCTTGCTATGTAGCCCAGGCTGGCCTTGAAATCTTGGCAATCCTCCTGCCTCAGCCTCCTGAGTGCTGGGACTACATGAGTGCACCACCACACTCAGTTTAAATTTTAAATTTTTATCTCCCACTCAGACCTCTCCTCTGAGCCCCAGATTGATATATCCAACTACTGTGTTTTGCATCTCCACCTGAATGGCTCACAAACATCCTAAATTTTAATCAACTCAAAATAAAGTTCTTTTAGTTAACTGGGGATTGAACTCAGGGCCTTCATAATGAGCTACATTCCCAGCCCATTTTTATTTATTTGTTATTTATTTATTTATTAATTAATTAATTTATTTTTTTCAGTACCGGGGATCAAACTCAGGACCTTGCTCTTTCAAGGTAGGTGCGGCACTACTGAGCTAAATCCCTGGCCCTTTTATTTTTTAATTTGAGATAGGGTCTCATTAGATTTCTAAATTTCCTAGGCAGGGCTCAAACTAGGAGGAATAGGGAGGGTGCTGGGTATGTAGCCTACTTAGACTAAGTGCTTGCCTAGCGTGTTCAAGGCCCTTGGTTCAATCCCCTGCACTTGGGGGGGATAATTTAAAATAATTCCAGAATCTTTTCTTCATCTTATACTATGCACATCAACAACTCTTGTTTCTATCTCTAAAATATTGTGAACCCATCTAATTCTGTGCACTCTATTACCCTTGCCCAAGTCATGATTTCTTGCTTTTAAAATTGCATTAGCTTCGAAAATGCTCCCTTTTACTCTTCTTAACCTCAAATCTAAATTCGACACAGCAGCCAGAATGACATTTTGTTTGTTTCTGTTTTCTTTGTGGTGTTGGGGATTGAACCCAGGGCCTCAAGCAAGTTAGACAAGTGCTTTACTAGTGAGCTACAGTTCCATTCTGAGAATGATTTTTTGTTTTGTTTTGTTTTATTTTTTGAGACAAGTCTTGCTGTGTAGCCCAAGTTAGCCTGGAACTCGTGATCTTCCTGCCTCAGCCTCCCAAGTGGTGAAATTATATGTGTACACCACCATGCCTGAGAATAACATTGTTAAATCAATACAAATCAGAGCTGGGGATTTAGCTCAGTTATTTCTGGCGCCGAAAGCGAAAGGTCCCAAGTTCGATCCCTGGTACAAAAAAAAAAAAAAAAAAAAAAAAAATACAAATCAGCTAGGCCTGGTGGCACATGCCTGTAATTCCAGCACTCCAAAGGATGAGGCAGGAGGATCGCTATGAGTTCAAGACTAGCCAAAACCATACAGGGAGACCATTTCAGAAAACAAAACAAAAACCAACAAATCATGAAAAGACTATTCCATGGGCAGGGGATTTAGCTCAGTGGTTCCAGCGCCTGCCTTGCCAAGTGCAAGGTCCCAAGTTTGATCCCCGGTACCAAAAAAAAAAAAAAAAAGACTATTCCTCTGTTTCCACACTGTTCCCTGAAGCCAGGAGTAGCACAAGCCTATTATCTCAGCACTTGAGAGGCTGAGGCAGGATTGTGAATTAAGGGCTGCCAGGTCTTCACATTGAGATCCTGTCTCAAAAGACAAAACAAGGGCCAGGGATTTAGCTCAGTGGTTCTGCCGCCTGCCTCGAAAGCGCGAGGACCCGAGTTCGATCCCCGGTACCAAAAAACAAAAACCCCAAACCCTCTTCTCAGGGCTGGGGGTGTAGATCAGTAATAAAGCCGGTGCTTATCACGCGTGGGGCCCTGGATTCAATCCCTAGCACAAACAATCCCAATCTCAACCCCCTCTACCTCAGTTTACAAGGCCATAATCTGGTCCCTGCCCTCCGTGACAATCATATTTTATTTTATTTTTTTTGGCATCGGGGATCAAACTTAGGTCCTTGCGCTTGCGCAGCAGGCGGTGAAACCACTGAGCTAAATCCCGGGCCCGACAATCATATTTTAAAACTGTTCTTTACCTAGCCTGCTACATTCCAACTACACTACTCTTTTTGTTTCTTGAATGCTCTGAATTCCTTCCCACCAGGACCTTCGCAAATGCTTTTCCTTTTCCTGAAAAGTTCTTTCACCTTCGCACCGCTGGTTTTAATTCCTCAAATCTTGGCTTTAGATATCACCTCCCAGAAAATTCTTCCTTGACTACCCCGATATTCTCTCTGGTGTTGTATTCACTGTTAATAACCGTTCATGACTGCTTTAACAACGTCTTCTTTATCGTATTATTCTCCTATCGTTTAAACTCTGAAAGGGAAAGAACCACACCTATTTCTTATTTATTTATTTATTTATTTTGGTACCGGGGATCGAACTCAGGTCCTTGAGGTTGCAACGCAGGCAGTGGAACCACTGAGCTAAATCCTCGGCCCAAACCACACCTATTTCGTCATAACTGTACACCCAGGGCCCAGAGCCTGACTTTTGCAGCTGGCGCTCAACATTTGTTCGAGGAAAGTACAAGGAACTTCACACAGCTTGGAGGGCGGAGGCTGACGGGGCGTGGTCTCCTTGGGGGCGGAGTCTCAGCTCCCGGTCCTAGGCCGGAAGCCTGGGCGGGGCTTCTCAGAATGGTGCCACGCCTCGGGGCGGGGCTAGCTGGGCAGCAAAGTCGCGGGCACAGTTAGGGGTTTATTTTCCCTGTCCCCCTAACAGTTCCTCCCTCAGAGCCCTGGCTCACCCGAAGGCACCTCTCCCCACCACTCGGATCCGCTCGTACTTCTCCATCTCATTTCTCAGAGATACGCATCCGGAACCTCCGGCGCGGCGCGTGCGCGGACCTGCCCACTCAGGAGCCCCGCCCTCTACGTTGTGAGATGTTTGCTGGGCGGAGCTAGCGGAGTTGTGTGAGTTCCAACTATCGTGGCATCTGTGTTTGTGGACTTGCAGTGTCCACAACACGGGTACGAATTCGCTTTTCCCTCACGATCTTGCCCCACGTGTGGCCCAGGAATAGGATAACGCCCATTTCTTTACGCATTCCGCAGTGCTCAGTACGGTACCAGGTGCTTTTCACTTGGCTCGATCCGATCGGCTCTTGCGGACCTTAATAGAGGCGAGGTATACCCTGCCTGCAAGCGTTGGCTTCCGAAGGCCGAAAAGGAGAGACAAGCGAGGATCGACCTCCCGCTGCCCACGAGTGACGCGCTTTCAGGAGGATAAAAGCAAATCCTCATTGGCACGCAAGCAAGAAACAACCAAACTGAACTGAGAGCAGCTCTCAGTCTGTGGAACAGAGAACGGGTAGTTTCGTGTTTGCCTAGGGAGGGACCGGGAAAACCCCGAGTTGTGCAAATTGATTCACCTGGGGAGGACGTGACGCGATCTCCAGGCTGAGCAGACTGAGCACCGCGCTAGTCGCGCGCTCAGCGCCCAGTCACCCCATCTACGCAGCAGCTGGAGGATCAGCCCCTCCCCTAGGGGAAGGTGGGAGTGGGTGCGGACCAATAATTGGAAAGCGTCTGGGAGGACTGGAAAGCACAAAGCACGCTGTTTGGCCGAGATAGGTTCAACACTTCTGCCCAGCCCGGCGTGGTAATGGATGCCTGTAATCGCAGCACTTGGGAGGCTGAGGCGGCAGGATTGCGGAATTTGAGGCCAGCCTGGGCTACATCGCGAGACCCTGTCCTAAAAAAACAAAAACACACAACGAGAAATGAAACAACCAACAAACCTCTTCTGCCCAGAGTTTAGGGTTAGGTTAAGATTAGGGCTAGTCTGACCCGCTAGGATCTCAGGATCTCAACTCAGAAGTGAGTTTAATTCCAGCCTCTTCCTGGCGCCACCGGCTCTGCCAGAGCTCTATAAAAACTTAGTAGTATTAAAGAGGAAGATGGTCATTAATTAGCAAAGGGTTAACATCCCTATTTTAGAGTGGGTGAAGAGCTGGGTTTGGCACATGCCTGTAATCCCAGCACTTGCGAGGTTGAGGCAAGAAGATCGTCGTCTGCGAGACCCTGTATCCAAAAAAAAAAAAAAAAAAAGCAAGGAAGGCAAGGAGGTGTTTTATCCTCTGCTGCCGCCTCGCCCACGTGGGACACTGGACGACCAGGCGCCTGGCAGTCGCTGGTGGCCACTGGCTCAGGCTGGAGTCAGTTGGCAGAAAAGCTGCCCTGTAAGCCAAGGGAACTGCAGAGGGGGGAAGCCACTCACCCAGTTCTTCATGCTCTCGCTTAGAAACCAAATGAGCCTTGGGTGCCTGGCAGCCCCACGGGGTTAATGTGTAACCTTGGAGCGCTCAGGGGAGACAGCAAACATCCAACCGACTTGGTGTTTGAACCTCGGGTTTTCACCTTTTTCACGCAGCACCCTTCTCACACCCACTTCTCCTTTCTCTCTTCTCCACTGCTGCACACACACCTCTTACTCTCCCAGCCGTTCTCAGCCTCATCCTTTGGGATAGGGGAGTGATGACGAACCTTGTTAGAGACCGAGTGTCCAAACTGCAACCCAAAACCCACTTATTTATTGCAAAGTGCCAACACTGCAACTAAACCTGAATACTGAGGTTTTTGGTTAAGAAAAAACAACTCATACATTTACATCTTTTGTCTTAAAAAATAAAAAAACAACAGAGCTTTCAATGATACAGCTTTTTAAATTTTATTTATTTATTTATTTATTGGTAACAGGGATCGAACTCGGGTCCTCGTGCTTGTGCAGCAGGCGGCAAAACCACTGAGGTAAATCCCCGGCCCTCGATATAGCTTCTTATTGAAACATAAAAATTTGTATTTGTCGTGTTTTTGAACAATTAATGTGATCTTAGCTGTTGAATGCATGCTGATAATTTGTCAAACCTTAGCTGGGGGGACTTGCCTCCGGTCTTGACAGAGAGGGCTCTGCGTGCCCAGTTCGGCACTGGCCTAGGGTTTGCGTGATTCTCTCCCCAAGAACTGCCTTGGAGAGTTGGGACCCCGCGCCACAGTGAGGACAGGCTGACACCTAGTGGCCGGGAGCCGCAACTGCTCCAGGCCAGTGGCCTGGAGAAGAGAATCACCCCAGCTGTCTGGGCAAATCCGGTCTTCTCCCCCCCAGCCTCCAGGGAGCCAGGAGACTAGGGCTGGGACGGTCTAAAGGAGGACTATGACAGCCGCTTGGCCTCCGGGGCTCAAGAGAGAGCCGAGAGATGCGGGGAGAAGGAGGAAAACAAGTCGATCTGAGGCCAGAGGCGGGACGGTGTCTGGGCGGAGCCACTGTTCGAGGCGGGGTTTCCGAACCCTCCCCAGGACCAGGGTTTTGTAGGGGAAGCGGACGCGTGATGGGTCCCGCCCAGCTCTGCCCAGAAAGGAGTTGAGGCGAAGAGAGGGATCTCGCGGAGCCGGCCCTAGGCAGGCGAGCGGGCGGCCCCGGAGAAAGTTGGTACGCGGGTTATGGGGCCGTTTGAGCGCGGGCGGCCGGGGACTCTTTCGGCCGTCAGGAGGCGCCAGCGAGGGATGTCTCCGCCGCGGCGCCCCCAGGACAGCTCCTTCCCGCTTGAAGTTGGCGGGATCCGGGCGGGGCTCGAGAGGCCCCGGGGGAAATGGGGCTCGCGCCCTCCTCGCGGCAGAGGCGCCGAGGGGCGGAGGCAGCGGGCGGGGCGGGGCGGGGCGGCACGGCCGGGGGCGGGGGCAGAGGCTCGGCAGGCAGGCAGGCCAGGGAGGAGCGAAGGGGCCTGGAGGGCTCCGGGAGAGTTGTGTGGGGCTGGCGGCTGGCGGCCGGCGGGAGAGGCGCCCGGGGTGACGGGCCGGAGGGAGCCCCGTTCGCAGAACAGCTCAAGGAGGCGGCTTAGAGGGCGGACGGACAGACTGCAGGGAGGGCCAGCATGCTGCCCCTGCTGCACCCCGCCTTGCCGTTGCTCCTGGGCGCCACGCTGACCTTCCGGGCACTGAGGCGCGCGCTCTGTCGCCTGCCCCTGCCCGCGCACGTGCGCACCGACCCCCTGCGTACCTGGCGCTGGCACAACCTGCTGGTCTCCTTCACCCACTCCATTGTGTCAGGGATATGGGCGCTGCTGTGGTAAGTGAGCGACCGGGGGCGTGAGGTGGCCCGGGGATTCCGTGCGGGTGCTGGGACAGGCTTCCGCGTTACTATTTCCATCACTCACCAGTGGGTCGAGGCCGTGAATCTCACCTGATTCCGTTTGGAAAACTACCCAACCAGGGGCGGCCCAGGGAAACCCGAGGCAACGGGGTTTCGGCCAAGCCCCTCCTCGCTCCCTTGCCAGCCAATGGCGCAAGCCTGAACTGTCCCGGGACTGACAGTGTACCGGGGGACCTGAGGGTCTCTTCGGGTGCCGACTATGCTAAGGGCCTCCCTTATTCCTTCCCAGTTTATGGCAGAGCCCCGAGATGCTGGTGGAGATTGAGGCAGCTTGGTCGCTTTCTGGCTATTTGCTCGTTTGCTTCTCTGCTGGTAGGTCTTGGCTAGGAAGCCTGAGGTAAAGTGGGTGTACTGGGGAAGAAGGTTAAGTCCCTTTCATGACCTTTCTCCATTCCTCCACTAGGGTATTTCATTCACGACACGGTGGACATAGTAATTAGTCGTCAGGCCAGAGCTTCTTGGGAATACCTTGTTCACCATGTCATGGTAAGTGAGAAAGCAGTGATGTGGTATGCATAGCCACGCTGCCGGCAACCTAGTCCCAAGTCCCATGTTCTTTGTGAACATGAGAGGGAGGTCATCTCAACCCCAGTCCAGCCCTGTGTCCTACTTTTCTAGCTGAGGTGCCACTATCGGTGTTCTTGCTCAACAGACTGGGAATGGCACCCACTGTGCCCAGAACCTGTGGGCAGGGATCAGAATCTAATCTTATGAATGAAAAAAACCCACCTTATCTACTTTAAACTGTTAGAATTTGGGGAGAACATGGTCCAGTGGAGCATTTCTGTAATTACAGCTACTTGGGAAGCTAAGGCAAGAGTCACAATTCAAGGACAGAATGCGTAACAGTGCGATCTGGTGTAAAAATATGAGCTAAGACCTGTCGCAGTGCTAAGAGTACCTCTGATATTACAAAATAGAAAATACAAGTAGAAAAAACATTGAGGCTTGTCTGGCCCTCTGGTGTGACATTCCTAACTCCCAGGAGCCTTGGGACCTGGCTTTCCAACTCCTCATTTATCCTCTAGGCCATGGGTGCCTTCTTCTCAGGCATCTTTTGGAAAAGGTTTGTTGGTGGAGGTGTCCTAACACTACTGGTGGAAGTCAGCAACATCTTCCTCACCATGCGCATGATGATGAAAATCAACAATGCCCAGAATCTCCTCCTCTACCAGGTCAACAAGTATGTCAACTTGGTCATGTACTTTCTCTTCCGCCTGGCTCCTCAGGCCTACCTCACCAACTTCTTCCTGCAGTATGCAGGCCAGAGGACCCTGGGGACCTTTCTGCTGGCCATCCTGCTCATGCTAGATGTGATGATCCTCATCTACTTTTCCCGCCTCCTCCGCTCTGACTTCTGCCCTGACCGTGTTCCCAGCCAACAACACAAAGATAAGTTCTTGACTGAGTGAGAGGAACAGAGCCTGGTACATGTGGCAAGGACAGCAAACACAGAACAGAAACAGCCTCACACATGAACTGGGTCTCTACCCCAACTGAACATCCCCAGGGGCCAGTCTCTACCTTGAGCCTACACCCACACTACTGAAAGCACTCTTCTGAAGCCTTAAAATCCTTTCTTGGGTAACCAGTGAGGGAAGCAGACAAACTGGTTGGACATGCATGTGGGTGTGAGGACAAGGATCCAACCCAAATCCAGCCAACCCACAGTGACCTGAAATGGATGCTAAAGACAGTTCTAAACTTCCAGGGATAAAAGGGAATCCTGTAAAGCTTGTTCTCTTGTCCCGGAGTTCCTAGGACAAATAACCCTCATCTGAGTAATAAAACCTCTGGTGTTAACTACCAGGGTTATTAACAAGTATAATGGCTTGAGGGATTGAGTGTTCCAACTGGGTAAGTATATTGGGAGTCCTACTCAGAGCTGGAGATGCAGCTCAGTGGTGGGGAGCATACCCACCATCACCCCAGGGGGCCTTTCCCAGGCCAACCAGAAACTGACATAAAGAAAAGAAGCATATGTATGTGGTGAAAATAATGTGTATTTAGAATTAGCCAGCTGGACTGTTTAGATGATCCCAATCTGAAAAACAAAAGGGAAGCTTTGTTACTGGGGATGAAATAGGTAGATTAAGCTGGGTGTTTCGATTAAAAAGCAAACTAGGTGGGCAGAGCTTGTTCAACACCAGGGTGCAGTCAGTCAATTATGACTAATCAGGAAAAGTCAGGCTTTGGTCGCTAACAGATTCATCATTTGCACCCAGAAGGTAAATGTGTGATGTTAGGAGTCTGTAGGAAAGGAAGCTTACTTTGTTGGCAACATCCAAAGCATCATAATCAGGAGCCAGTCGAACATACGCCTTCTTCTCTCCATCAGGCCTGGGCAGAGAAGGATGCCTTAGCCCTTCCTGCCTCCATCCTTCCCCCCTCCCTGAATGCCCCCATCCTCTGGTGCATCAGTGGTTCCTTTGTTCTTATCATTCTTTTCCAAATAGTGAATTTTCCATCATTTGCATAGAGGAGTCGAGCCAGTTTCCTTTCATTGGAAATACAAAACACTTGAGACTAAATCCATGTAATAGTACTTTACTATAGTGCCTACCTCTGCCCCAACCTCATCAGTGAAGTCCTAGAGAGTTTCCTCAGATCTATATTTGATACAAAGGCCAGTAATTTCACAGGGGACTTTGTACAGTGTAAATCCTACTTCTGACCTCAAGAGCAGTAGCAGGGAACTTAAAGGCATACATGAAGTTTTCTGGGATCCCTTCTGTGGCTCTAGCCACTTCTCATGGGGCCCCACTCACCTGATTAGGGTATTGACCTTGGCCACGTCAATGTCATAGAGCTTCTTCACAGCTTGTTTGATTTGGTGCTTGTTGGCCTTGACATCCACAATGAATACGAGTGTGTTGTTGTCCTCTATCTTCTTCATGGCTGACTCTGTGGTCAGGGGGAACTTGATGATGGCATAGTGGTCAAGCCTGAGGGGTGAACAACATGGGGGTCACCTGGCCTGGGTCCAGTAGGATGGGCTTTTTTTTAAGAGTCCAAGGCTGAGAACACAGGTGCGTCAGACAATGGGTACAATCATTTTTGTCAGACTTTGGTTGCCGCTAATCAGTGTCATCAGCTGCACCTTATACCTAGGAGTGTGAAGCTCCTCCTAGGAGGCAGAATCCTTGAGTATTTTCTTTAACCTGAAAGCCTCTCATCCTTAAAGAATCATCTTTGACTCAAACCCTTTCATTTGCTGGAGCTCCACGCTGACAAATTCCCTAGGAGGGTGGGTCACATTTCTGCCCCCAATGGCTGCTAAAGGGGGGCTGTGATCAATAGTTACCACTTTGTTTGAGACAGGGTCTCACTATAGTCCAGGTAGGCCTTGAACTCACAATCTTCCTGCCTCAGCCTCTAGAGCGGGGGGGATTACAGGCTACCTTGAACACACTTCAGACAAGCCACTCCTTGTCCAGTCACACTACTTTCCTGGTTTTTTGGGTTTTTTTTTTTTTGGAACCGGGGATTGAACTTGGGTCTTTGTTCTTGAGATGCAGGCAGCAAAACCACTGAGCTACATCCCTGGCCCACTACTTTCCTGATTTGAAGCTAGGTCAAAACCCAAACTCTTTATTACACTAAATCTAGGTCCAAATTGGGGGCATAAGAGAAGTACACATTTGTCCCTCTTAGGAAATACCTTTTACCCAGCCACCCAACTTCTTTGAGATTATCTCAAAATAAAAGGCTGGGGATGCAGCTCATCAGCAGATCACCAGCTTAGCATGTTGAAGGACCTTAGTTCAATCCTCAGTATGGCACACACACACAAACCACCCACACCCTCACCTCCAAGGACTGTTTCCTAGGTGGTGCAAGCAAGGAACTAAATTTAGAATACTGTATGTATGTATGTATACATATATATATGATATACATTTTGGGGGTTGAGACAGGGTCTTGCTGTGTAGCCCAGGCTGGCCTCCAACAATGATCCTCCTGCCTCAGCCTGCCAGGTGCCGAGTTTACAGGTGTGCACCACTATGCCCGGGGAAAGGAGCAGCTCTTTTTTAAGGAATGTATCCTATGTTGGGTGTGGTAGTGCACTCCTCTAAACACAGGACTTGGGAGGCTGAGGCAGGAGGATTGCCATGAGTTTGAGGCCAGCATGGGCTACATAGTGAGCTCAAGGACAGCCTTAACTACATAGTGAGACCCCGCCTCAAAAAAGGGAACAAAACTCAAAGAATCTACCTTTATTTTTTCCTTTTTTGGTGCTGGGGATCAAACTTAGGGCCTCCCTCATGCTACAAAAACACTCTCACTGAGCTACACTGCCAGCCCCAAGGAGCAGCTCTTTAATCCTGCTTTATACTCCCCACAAGATACTTTCAAACTGACCATGCTGAATAAATAACCTAACAGAAAACTTGAGACTGTAGGTGGACAGTTTTTCTGCCAGTATTTAAAAACTCTTACTCTTTAATTTTATTTTGGTACTGGGGATCAAACTCCAGACCTTGTGCTTGCAAGGCAGGCAGTGGAACCACTGAGCTAAATCCTCGGCCCTCTCTTACTCTTAAGTAGGGCAGAAAAGCCAGATGTGGTGGCATCCGCCTGTTATCTCAGCACTTGAGGCTGAAGCAGGAGGTTCACCATGAGTTCAAGGCCAGCCTGGACTATACAAGGAGACCGTCTCAAAAAAAAAAAAGAAAAAAAAAAGACAGAAAAGTCTCATTCCCCTTAGAGTAATACAGTAAATATCAATGGGTTTTTGAGAAGCATGCTCTAAGGTGGGTAACATCAATAAAAAATATCCAAACATCTTCAAACAGGTCTGTGAGCAGTACTGACTTGTTTCTCCTGGGGGCGCTTTTCCGAGGGTATTTCGGCTGCCGCCGGAGCCGCAGTGTCTTGGGACGGCGGAAGGTGGGTGACGTGCGGATTTTCTTCTTTTTGTGGCTGTGGATGCCTTTCAGCACTGCTTTCTTGGCTTTCAAAGCTTTTGCTTTGGCTTCAGCTTTGGGAGGGGCAGGAGCTGGTAAAGAAAACGAAGGTGCGGGATTCAGAAACTGGCAGGTCACTTCCGGCCTCACGTCCAGTAATGGGTGACCTTGCCTACACGTGCATCAGTGGTTCCTTTGGAGACATCACAAATCTCAGGAGATTAATTTTTTTTCCATCATATGCACGACACGAGAAGGAAAGATAACTAATTTGGAGTAACTTCAAGGATACAAAGAAGAAAAAACTTAACACTCATTAAGGGAGAAATATACAGGGCCATTTAACACACACAGAAAGGCAAATCAGTAACGTTGAGGCCACTTATGTCCTTACGAACCTGGAGACATGGGTCACCGGTCTGTGGATGTTTTTAATTTCCGAGAGTCCACTGTGTGGCTCGCCCGGTCAGATAATGCCTCCTGGGATGCCTCTCCCACCCCTTCCACGGAAGCCTAGCCCATGCGGCTTGCTTACGCCGTCCCGACAAAGTACGCCCCAAGAGCGGGGGGTAGCTCCGAAGATTTCCCCAGGACTCGCCCCCGCCACTGCCCTACGAATGCGTTCGCTCTCCGGGCAACCCAGGCAAACCCGCTGTGGCCCCCAGCCCCAGCCCCAGCCCCAGCCCCAGCCCCAGCACACACACCTTCCTTCTTTGCCTTCGGCGCCATCTTGGTAAAAAGGGCCTCCTGGGTTCGTTCCCACGGGCTTATACCGCTAAATCTCACTGAAGACTCGCGATGCTTTTTACCGAGATCTGATTGGATGATCTTTGGCGTGCTTCCCGCTGGGAACTGTAGTTAGAGTTCATTTCTTCTCAAGCGTGACTAAGCATGCGCCACCTCGCCCCTCCTCCGGCCCCAAAGCTTCTTGGGAGTTGTAGTTTTTGATTGGTTCATTTAGTTGTTTTTGTATTTTTGGGGGGGTGTTGTTTTTTTAATTTTTAAAATAACTTTATTATCAAACACACACATATACAAAAAATTAAAACTATTCAAAGAAGAACAATGCAAGGGGGAAAAAAACTACAATAATATTCAAATACAGTAGAACTCAACCAAAACAAAACTGAAAAGCACTTAAACATTTTTCCATATAACTTAAAAAAGCATCTCAAGCACCAACAAGTTGTTGTTGTTGTTGTTTTGAGACAGGGTCTCACTATGTAGTTCAGGCTGCCCTTGAACTCACTATGTCATCCAGGCTGACCCTCGTGGTGTTCCTCCTGCCTCAGCCTCCCCAGTGCTGGGATTTATACACATGTGCCACCATTCCTGACTTTTTTGGTTTTTGAAGACCAGCTCTCACTATGTATTTCAGGCCTGTCTTGAACTCATTATGTAGGCCAAGCTGAACTTGAACTCTCAGTGATCTTCCTGTCTCAGCCTTCTGAGTGCTGAGATTACAGGGTTGTACCACAATAGGAAGAAGTTATAAGGGGGTTTTGTTTTTTCAATTTTTTTTTCTTTTCTGTTTGTTTTGGACAGGGTCTCACTTTGTAGTTCAGGCTGGCCTTGAACTTACTATGTAGCCCAAGCTGGCCTCAAACTCAGTGATCCTCCTGCCTCAGCCTCCACAGTGCTAGGATTACAGGTATGTACCACCATGCCTGGCTTGGATTGTAGTTTGTTGTTGTTGGGTTTTTTTTCCGGTAGTGGGGAGCGATTGAACTTGGGACCTTGCGCTTGCGCGGCATGCACCGGAACCACTGAGGTAAATTCCTGGCCCATATAAACATATCTTAAAAAAACTACAATCCAAAAAAACACAAATCCACCAGTATGGGCCGGGGATTTAGCTCAGTGGTTTTGCCGCCTGCTGCGCAAGCACAAAAACTGGAGTTTGATCCCCGGTACCAACCAACAAACAAAACAACAACAACAACAACAACAACAACAAAAAACTGCAATCCAGAGCCGGTACCAAAAAAAAAGATATGTTTATTTGTCTAGATCTGAGGATGGTGTATCAGCTCCCTCTTTGAATCTTGTCCCGGGTCCTTCCCATCCTGAACAACTTTCAGTCTCAGGGAAGAGAGGATTTCAATCTCTAGAAGATGATAACACTGCAAAGGGGAAAAATACAGTTAGACTGAGTAGGGGAGGGTAAAACAAAGTTCTAGAAATGTTAGAGCACAATTTGCCCGATTTAATTCCCTCAGACACTTTTGTGGAAAACTGAGGTCCAGAGAAGGATATGGTTTAGCAATTACCACAGCGATTTGGTGACAGAAAGTCGTCTACGGTAAGTATCAGAGGAAGTATAAAATGGCCACTGTCTGTTTCTCGATATTAACTGCCCCCTTATTGGGGATTAAACCTAAGGAGTGAACTACATCTCAGTCCTTTATAAAAAATTTTTACTTCAGGGCCAGGGATTTAGTTCAGTGGTTCTGGCACCTGCCTCGGAAGTTTAAGGTCCTGAGTTCAATCCCCGGTACCAAAAAAAATGTGAAAAATTTTTATTTTGAAAGCTGGGCGTGATGGGGCATGCCTGTAATCCCAGCTCTCAGGAGGGTGAGGCAGGAGGATTGCCTTGAGTTCGAGGCCAGTTTGGGCTACATATTGTGTTCAAGGCCAGCCTGAACTGCATAGAAAGACCTTGTCTTTAAAAATATATATATATTAAGACAGGATCTTGCTAAATTGCCCAGGCTAAATTGCTCAAACTTTTGATCCTCCTGTGTCAGCCTTATTAGTAGCCTGGGATTATAGGATATGTCACTGTGCCCAGCTCGCTAATACCCTTGAGGTAGTTCTACATTCCAAACACCACGCAGATTTCTCTAGGATCCACTAGTTCTTCCTGCGAATGATTTTTCTTAGTCCCCTCCCCTGAGCCAGTATTTGCTTCCCCTGTTCCACTCATTGGGGTGGGGGGGGTGGGGTACCGGGGATTGAACTCGGGTCCTTGTGCTTGCTAAGCAAGCAGCGGAACCACTGAGCTAAATCCCCGGCCCTCCAGTCATCTTTGCATCTTCAAATTCAGTTCCTGGCACAGAGCAAATTGCATGATGCTGAGGTTAATTAACTGTGCTGCGGGTCTGTGTCTAATTCACCCCATCTTCAAACACACTGAGTCTTTTTGTTTTGGTTTGGTTTTTTGGTACCGGGGAGCTTCTGGAGCCAGAAGTCCTCCTTGATGTGAAATGGGATGCTCTTCTACACTGGAGGTGTCGGCAAAAAGAAAAAAAATTGCCCTAGGTTTTTTCTGTGTGTGGGTTCTAATGGAGACAGGAAAACGAATGCCTATACCAGCAAGGAAGGAGTCTTCGTGTCCCAGAGTGGTGCCCATCCAAAGGGCCGATTCCTCGGTCCGCCTAGCCCTTCTTCATTTTGCATGGAGACAGGCAGCTTGGCAGTCAGCTCTCCCACTCCACGATCTATACAGCAGCCTGGAAGGAAAAGACACCAGACATCGGAAGTCTCTCCTCGGTGGGCACGTCGCTCTGATCACGGCACCTCCTCACACTTCTCCGCCCCCCACTTCCCAGGGCAGAAGGGAGAGCAGGGGCAGACTATGAGTCACGGCCCGGGCCTGCAGTGTAGGAGGGAAGCGCCGCCTCCCCTAGGGCCCCTTCTCTCTCCCCTTTGCCCTCCCCGCGGGTTCCTGCCCGCCAGATGCTGCGCAGCAATCACCGAGTCTCCATCATCAGTTCGGCTGGGTAAGGGTCCCCAGGAAGGTGCAGCCTGGGACCCGAGGTGCTGGGCAGAACGTCCTGGGGGATCCAGAGCTGGACAGGCTCCAGCCTGGGTGGGGGGGCCCAGGGTGCGGCGTGAGGCGTCCGGCGAGGGAGCGGGAGCCGGGACCGAGCATTGGAGTCGGGTGGGGGGGGACGAGGGCGGGCTGCGCGGCCGTTGCTGCCGGGAGAGGGGCAGGGGGCGGCCCTTCTCCAGGAATTTCCGGGGATCGTGTTTCAGCGCTGGAGGAGCGGGAGCGGAGAGGGACTCCAGGCCCTGCAACGGACTGGGCCCCTCGCCCCCTCCTCCCGCGGCCCGGGCCGGCAGCGCCTCCCCTGCCCACACTGACCCCCTGCGGCGGGGCCGAGCAGCGCCCGAGGGCCATTGTTATGGTGGGGCCGCCCCCGCCGCGAGCCGTCGTCGGGTCGCCGCGGCCCCGGGTGATCGTGGGAGCTCTCCGTCCGCGGGTCATTGTAGGGTCCGCGCGGGCCCGGGTCCCCCGCGACGGAACTGCCCGCCAGGCAGCCGAGGGGTCTCCCCGCCCCCGAGTCGTCTTCGGGGCGCCCCGGGCCCGGGTGGTCGTGGGCTCGGCCCGGGTGGTCGTGGGCTCGCCCCGGCCCCGCGTGATCGTCTCATCCCCGTGGCCCGCGGTGGCTGTTGCGTCTCCCAGGCCGCGGGCTCCCACAGGCTCCCCGTGGCCCCGAGTGATCGTCGGGACCCCCCGGCCGCGCGTGATTGTGGGCTCTCCACGGGCCCAGGAGGCAGGGGCGGATCAGGCCTCGGCGCCGTCTCTGGGCGCTCCGCAAGGCCGCAGGCGAGATGAACCTCCTGGCGCCCGTGCGGAGGGACCGCATCCTGGCGGAGCTGCCCCAGGTAGGCGCCAGGGCCACGTCGGGTTTCTGGCTGCAGCCGGGCGTGGGCGGGGAGAACGCGGCACCAGACCCGTTAGAGGAACTCGCCCAGCCCCGCTGAGCGCTGGCGAGGCCTCGGCTTCTGGGTGGTCCTCCCTCCACCCCAACCCTTCCCTCCCCACCCCGCCCGGGTTCCTTGGCTTCGGGACAAGGACCTAAAGTGGCTGAGCCCCTTCTCTTCCAACACTCTCAGTGCCTGAGGAAGGAGGCCTCTTTGCACACGCACAAAGACTTCCACCCCCGCGTCACTTGCGCCTGCCAGGAGCACCGGACAGGCACCGTGGGGTGAGTTAGGGACATCTACAGCACAGACAGGAAGTCCTAGGGGACGCTGAGGTCATAGCAGGGTTACACATGCATGCATCCCCTTGGGGCTCCATTTCAGCTCCTGCCAGGTGCATGGTCATGTCCCGTTTAAGCCTCTGGGCTCTCCCTTTTTCTTCCAACAAGTTTGTTGGTCCTTGCAGAAAGGAATAGAAAGTGTCCAGCAAGGGGCAGTGGACACATACCATCCATTGAGCCCGAAGGCAGGGGGCTCTCTCTCTGTGTGTCCAGGGATGAGTCTCATTGTAGGTTAAAAGAAGTAATGCTAGTAACAATTGCTGTCCTTAATTAAGCACTGCTGGCATGGTGGTGTACTCCTGTAATCCTAGCACTCCAGGTTGATGTACCCCAGCCTCGACTACAGAGGTTAAGGCAAGATCACTGCAAGTTCAAGGTCACCCTGGGCTGCAGAGTGAGTTCCAAGATAGCCTGAACTGCATAGTGAGATCCTGTGTCAAAAACAAACATAAAAGCTCCAAGGATTTAATTCAGTGGTTCTGGCGCCTGGCTCAACAGGGCAAGGTCCCTTTGATCCCCGGTACCAAAAAAACCCAAACAAACAAAAAAGATCATTAATTGAGCATTTACTGTGTGCCAGGCAGTGTGTTAGCTCACATCAATTTTTTGGTTTTTTTGGTACCAGGGATCGAACTCGGGACCTTGTGCTTGCAAGGCAGGCACCGGAATCACTGAGCTAAATCCCTGGCCCTCAATGTCTTATATTAAATGGAAAACATCACTAAAGATGCATAGTGATTTCAGAAATGTTAAAATGGAGAAGGGCAGTGTTTTAGAACATAGGATTTTTATCTCATTTTAACCTTCACAACAATTCAAGGAATTAAGTACTGTCTCCTCTTAACAAGTGTTGTGCTGGGTGCGGTGGTTCATGTCTGTACTCCCAGCACTCAGGAGGCTGAGGCAGGAGGAGGATTGCCATGAGTTCAAGGCCAGCCTGGACTAGAAAGTGATGCTGGGGGTGGTGGCGCATGTCTGTAATCCCAGCACTTGGGAGGCAGAGCCAGGAGGATCACTATGAGTTCAAAGCCAGCCTGGACTACATAGTGAGTTTGTGAGTTCAAGACCAGCCTGGGCTACATAGTAAGACCCTGTCTCAAAAAAAAAAAAGTGAATTCAAGACCAGCTTTTTTGAGACCTTGTCTCAAAAAACCAAGAAAAGACAGACAAAAAACAAGTTGAAACTGTCGCTCAGAAAAGTAACCTGTCCAAAGTCACACAGCTAATCAGGGCTGGGAGTATAGCTCAGTGTAGACAGCTTAGCTAGCATGTGCAAAGCCTTGGGGTCCATCCTTAACACCACAAACAAACAATAACAACAAAAGAACTCCCCAGGATGAAAACTAGTGTCCACTCTTGTGTCCAGCAGATTTAAGATCTCCAAGGTCATTGTTGTGGGGGACCTGTCGGTGGGGAAGACTTGCCTCATTAATAGGTAAGGGAGTGCTGAGCTTGGCTAGACTGGGTTGGGCAGGGTGGGGCAAAGCCTAGCTAGGTAGACTCAGCTACAGCTCAGAGCACCTGGTGCCTCCTCAGGTTCTGCAAAGACACTTTTGATAAGAATTACAAGGCCACCATTGGAGTGGATTTTGAGATGGAACGATTTGAGGTGTTGGGAGTCCCCTTCAGTCTCCAGCTGTGAGTGCTTCCCCCACCCCTTTCAGTCATTTTCCCTGATGCCGACACCCCTGGCCCCACTCTCTACTACCTGGGCTCTCCTCTCCTTCCTCCCAGTTGGGACACCGCTGGACAGGAGAGGTTTAAATGCATTGCGTCAACCTACTACCGAGGAGCTCAAGGTAAGGGCTCGGCCGGGTGGGGCAGAGGGTCCAAGAGAGTGCACCTGGCCTCATCAGAGCTGGTGTAGCCGGGGGGGAATGAACCAGTGGTGTGTTCCCTACTGACCTGGGACTGCTTCTGCCACTATTCCAGCGATCATCATTGTCTTCAACCTAAATGATGTGACATCCCTGGAACATACTAAGTATGTGAGGGTGCTGTGAGGAAGAGGGAGGATCGAGAAAGGGAAGATTCTGAAAAGAGGGTGGTTAGGGGAAAAGAATGCACCTGAAGGTGGTGCTCTCAGGAGAGAGCAGTTGCTTAGCACGCACCAGGTCCTGGATTCCATCCCCAGTACTGCAAACAGGAAAAGAACACATGGTGGGGCGGGGGCCTGTGAATGTGGGTGGGATGGACCTGTCTGGCTCCTTCCTTCCTCACACCTGTCCCCCATCTGGCCAGGCAGTGGCTTGCCGATGCTCTCAAGGAGAATGACCCTTCCAGTGTACTTCTCTTCCTCGTGGGTTCCAAGAAGGACCTGAGTGTGAGTGTCCATGTGTTAGTGGGGGGGACCTTCCAGTTTAGGGAGGGCCCTCCATCTGACGAGAATGCCTTCCTGCAGACACCGGCTCAGTACGCACTCATGGAGAAAGATGCCCTGAAGGTGGCTAAAGAGATTAAGGCTGAGTTCTGGGCAGTCTCTTCTCTCACTGGTGAGTGTCAGGCCTCTGGATCCCTGCCTGCCTCACCTCCCATTCTACACTTATAGCTGTCCCACATGCCCTAGACGTGGTGCTGCCCCAACACCCATGTGCTCCCCATGTCAGGTGAAAACGTCCGGGAATTCTTCTTCCGTGTGGCAGCACTGAACTTTGAGGCCAACGTATTGGCTGAGCTGGAGAAATCAGGGGCCCGGCGCATTGGGGATGTTGTCCGTGAGTGCTTGCCTGGTTGAGGGTGGCATAGAGCAAGGGGAACCTCCAGCCCTGCTTCAGAGACTTTCCACCCTTTTGCAGGCATCAACAGTGATGACAGCAACCTCTACCTAACTGCCAGCAAGAAGAAGCCCACATGCTGCCACTGAGGGGCTAGGAGACTATCCAGAGACTGTGGTCCCTGGGGCACTGCACCTCCTTAATCTCAGAGCTTGGCCCCTGGATGTTTGCACTGATTTTATCAAGACCAAAGAGCTACCATTGGTGGCGGTAACCCTGCCCAGGGACTGTTGGGACTATACTAATCACTTCCTGCCCCCAGGCATCATACCAAAAACTGAAGGCCCTCCCTCTCCTCTGGAGGTTCTCATGCCAGGGAAACTGTCCCTGCTGCTTCTGCCCAGCCTTTGTGTATGAGGATGCCTAATGATTCCAGCCCAACACTGTGCCTTATGCATTAAAAGCTTTGCTAGCCCTTGTGGGTGGACTCCTTTGCTGAGAGTGCAGGATTTGTAGTGAAGGCTGTAAGGCTATTTGGGACTGCAGTGAGCCCCCTGTGGGGATTTTGATCATCTCTGGCCCTTGGGTAGGGCTCAGGCAGTTGGGAGATCTTAGAAGAGGTTTAGGAAGCTGACCAGACCCTTGCAGGGTAAGATCTAAAGAGCTGGTTTTGAGCACCTTCTCTTCTGTCCTGTCCCTTCAAATGCTTCCTACTTGGTATTTATACCTAAATTTCCACTGTTAGAGGTTTTTTTTTTTAAGACAGAGTCTCATTCTGTAGTCCAGGCTGGTCTTGAACTCTTGGTGTTCCTCCTCCTGCCTCAGCCTCAAGTGCTGAAACTATAGATGTGGGCCACCATGCCCAGCTTCTGCCTTCTCTCTCTTTTAAAAAAAAATTTTTTTTTTTCTGGTACTGGGGATTGAACTCAGGACCTTGCGCTGATGAGGCAGGCGCAGTGCTACTGTGCTAAATCCCTGGCCTCTGCCTTGCCTTCTCTTATTAAAAGTTTCTCTGTGGCTGGGGTTGTACCTCAGTGGTAGAGCGCTAGCTTGGCCAATACCCTGGGTTCCATCTCCAGCACCACAAAATGGATGGAAGGAAGGAAATAAATGATGAAGTTTTGGACGCTTTATAGGTTGACCAGATGGCCTGGAGAGGGTAGGGACTCTGGATCTTTTCAGAAAAACTTTTGAGTCAAGACCTTTTTTTTTTTTTGAGATAGTTCAGCTGCCCTTGAACTTACTGTATAGGGTAGGCTGGCCTAGAGCTCGTGGTGATCCTTCTGCCTCAGCCTCCCAAGTGCTGGGATTACAGGTATGTGTCTCTGGGTCCAGCTTGGACCTACTGTATCTTTAAATCCTTATACCTCCACTAATGATGAGAATGCGGGCAAATCAGTTATCTTCTGGGCCTCAATGTCCTTATCTATAAAATGAGGTTAATAATACTGAATTCAGGAGGTTATGTGACTGAAATAAGATAAAGCACCAGCAGGGGCTGAAAGCATATTGCTCAGCGGTAGAACATTGCTTAGCATGTTCAAGGCCCTGGTAAATTCTCCAGCATTGTAAACAAGACAAAACAGAAAATCCCAGCCAGGGATATAGCTCAGTGGCACCCCTGCCTGGCAAGCACAAGGTTCTGAATTCGATACCTGGTACCAAAAAAAGAAGAAGAAAATCCCAGCTGCGTATGGTGGAGCATGCTTGTAATCCTAACATTTTGGGAGGCTGAGGCAGGAGATTACAAGTTTAAGCCTAACCTGTGCAATTTAGTGACTCAGACCCAAAATAAACAATTAAAAGGGCTGGAGAAGTAGCTCAGAGTGAAGACTCCAGGTTCAATACCCAGTAGCACAAAAAATAAAGTACTAACACATAGGAAGAAGTCAAACGTTTTATTACGGCTAGCGTTACAGGAGGAAAAGTGATGAAGCTCCTGGCTTCCTGCTGGGATCTGACCCCAAATCACAAATTGGCTGGAAGTTCCCCAGACATCCAGTGCAAGAAAGGAGGACACATGTGGCCTCCCATCATTCTGGGAAGCCAAGGAAGGCTAAGATTCAAACACTGATCCTGCCTCTGGGTCAGCAAGTATTCTATCCATCCCCTGCCTAGTTCCTTTCCTACCCAGCCATGGTCCATCCAGGAAGGGCTGGCTGTTCTGCAACCTCCCTCTGCTTCCCCTCCCTGCTGGATTCCAGATTCTAGAGCTACAGGGAGGAGGATCTGGGCAGTGGCCATGCTCAATCAGGAGTTAGCTCTGGAGGAAAGATGGCTGGGGTCAGCAGTAGTAGTGTCAAGTGGATGTCTTCAAGAAAACAAAAGTATAAACACCTTTGGGCAGGGGTGTGATTCTGGTAGAACTCTTGCCTAGCTAGCTTACCTGCTCTCTCTCTCCCTCCCTCCCTTTTTCTTTCTCTTTCATTGCCTAGCAAGCACTCTTGAGAATCTGGGTTCAATCCCAAGCACTGGAAAATAAAAACAAAAAAAATCCATCATCCCTTTTCCCTGGCTGCCCTTTGAGGCATCCTGGCTTTGGAAGCTGAGGAGGAGGAATTGAGAGGTGTGTATGGAGTGTTGGTGAGGCCGCTCTAATTTCTTCACATTGTAATTTTTTCCATCTCTGCCCTTCATAGCACTAGGCTTCTCAACCTTGCTTTGCACAGAGGCTCAATGTGTAAAGCCACAGTGCTGGTGTTTGTGGCTTGAGCTGTGGAGAGTTCTGTGGGTGGTTGTTTTTGGTAATGGGAATCCGAACTCAGTACCTTGCCAGGGAGGTGCAGTGCCACTGAGCTAAATCCCTGGCCTTGTTTTTTGGTTTTTTGAGACAAGGTCTTGCTATGTAGATCAGGCTGGCCTTGAGCTCACTATGTAGCCCAGGCTGGCTTGGAACTTGTGATTCTCCTGCCTCAGCCTCCCAAGTGCTGGAATTACAGGCGTGCACCACTACAATTCCTTGTTCTGTGGGTGTGTGGGGAAGTGTGCCCATTGTATTGGGTCTGTAGGTGATGAACAGATTTTCTGTGAACTGTATGATACAACATGAAAAGTGTGTATATTAAAAAAGTGAATGTGTCACTGGGATGAAGTTAACTATGAGGGCAGCGGGGTATGCTCCCTGGACCGGAAAAGCCAATGGAGAAACCAACAGACAATTGGTCAGTGAGGTCTCTAGGACTCGGGAGAACGCTGTGGGGTGGCACCGGGTGGCCAGGCGCCACCGTGTCCTCACGGAGGAGAGTTCAACCATGGACGCAGAAAGCGTGGGCTACCACCCAAGCCTGAGCAACCATGGAGAAGCCAGGAAGCGTGCGGTGTTTTGGGGGTCGGGGAAGATTCGCTCGCTCCGGCGGGCAGGGGTGGCCTTGGGGCTTCAACTAGGAGGCGGAGCGCGAGGTTCCGGGAATGGCTGGGGCGGGGCCGGGGCGGGGCTGAGCCGGTTTAGGGCGGAGGAGGGGCGGGACTGAGGCCTGGGGTTGGACTAAGAGCTGGGCCTGGAGCGGAACGGGGAATGGGACTGAGGGCTGGATCTGTACGGTGAGGGTCTGAGGTAAGGGGAGGTACTGCTGTTAAAGTTGTGACCCAGAGGGACCAGGGGGGAGCTGGAGTCCCCGGATAAAGAACGCGGCTGACGCTCAGACCCCGGTTGGGGAGACCGCACCGTCTAGGGCGGGAGGGGAAGGGGGCGGAGGTGGGTAAGCATGAGGCGGAGCTAAGGGTTGGTCTGGTGCGCCGCCCAGACTGGAGCTCCGAGGGAACTGAGGTTCGAGGTTAGACTCTGCGAGGAAGAGTCCTGTGGAAGAACTGGGCTGAGAACGATGTGGGTGAGGACAACAGTAACGATTGAAAAATGGACCGAGGAAAACACTGGGCGCGAGGCCGGCACCTGGGACGAGGGGGAGAGCTGCGGTGAGGAGGGACCGAGCAAGGGATCGGGGCGTGGCTGGGGCCGGTTCCAGCCCGCCCTGGGGAGGTGTAGCAGGGAGGCGGGTCCTGGGGAAAGAGGCGGGGCCAGCCGCTGGTCTGGGGGCGGGATCACGTGAGCCGTGGACCAATGATTGAGGAGGAGTCTTGAGGCCCAAGAGGGCGTCCTACGGACCAAAGTCTTTAGTAGGTGGCTGGAGCTGGAGCTGCAGCACCTGTTTGCAGGGCTGGAAAATAGCTTTGTTGTGTTTGCAGCCTTAGGCTCAGGCCGCCGGTTTGGGGCACTGGGGTTCTTGGCTGAAGCCCACGGCCCATTGCCTGACCATTGCCACTCAGGCGCAGGAGCTGAGGGCGGGCTATTCCATTGACCTAGGAAGGGAAGACTTCTGGGAGTTCCACACGTGACATCACAGTCCTGTCTGGCTGGGGGCGGGACCAGGTGGCATTTCCAAGGAGACGAGGGTGCACTGCCCCTCCTTTACACCCTCTTATTCCCTCCTTCCTTTCTTAGTTTTTTCCCTTCCTCCCTTCTTCCTTCCTTCCCCTCTCCTCCCCACTTCTGCAGCTCTGGTGGCCGTTCTCTGTGCCTCCAGGGATGGGCAGCTGCTCGGCCCGCTGCCAACAGGGAGGATTTTGTACTGATGAGCATCACCTGTGAGTTAGGCTTTTGCCTTGGGCTTACTGCTGCACCAAGGAAGGGACAACAAGCTCTGTCTTCCTTTAAAGATACCCCCCCCACACTTCATATGAAGTCCCTTGTGTCACTGCTGCTGCAGTCAGAGCACTTCTTTGTTCTCTCTGGAACTAAAGGACAGATCATTTTTCTCAGAATCTGAGGAGAGTTACTCAGTCCCTCTTTCCCTTGGCCTTCCTCCCTCCCCTCTACAAATAGCTGGTGGCTGTCAGGGTCTGTTGGAGAGTGAGTCCGTGGAAAATAGGCGCTGACTCTGCACAAGACCACCTCCGTGGTGACAGAGTGAGCAGAGCCAGTAGAGTGACAGCAGAATTTCGGTCCAGGCTCATACTCAGGCACTTACTTCATGGCCTTAGGGTCCAGGCAGGATAAGGCAGGATGTGGTTAGGATTAAGAAGGTGAGGAATTAAGTGTTGATGTGGTTTTTTGGGGTTTTTTTTTTCGGTACTGGGGATCAAACTCTGGTCCTTGCGCTTGTGCAGCAGGCGTTGAAACCACTGAGCTAAATCCCCGGCTAGTGTTGATGTGGTTTTAAGACTTGGTTGTGGCACTTATGACCTAGAGGGACCCTTTATGTGTATCTCTCCAGTCAACAGTCAACAGAGCTGAAAGTGTAGTCTTTGAAGCCAGGAAGACCTGGGTTTGAATCCTTCTGCAGTCAACCTATCTCTGGGCAAATTACTTATCCTCTCTGAGTCTGTGTGTCCCCATCCATAGAATTTAAAGACATAATTTAGAAATCCAACATACCACCTGGTCATGTGAAGGTGTGAATGCTTGCTTAAAATGGATGAGGCCCCGGGTTCGATCTGCAGCAAACACTCCTCCCCCAATGCCCTGAGGTTTGAACCTTGGACAGAAGCTCCAATACCTCTTTGTGGATGTAATAGAGGTTTAGTCTGTTTTTTTCATATATTCATTCAGTTAACCAACATTTATGAACACTCTCCATGGCTCTATGGATACAGAGGCAGATGAAATAATGTGTTTTCCTCTCAAGGACCTATAAGTACATGAATGTCACAGGTTCCAGGTACTATGGCTGCAGGTGAAAAGGGCACAAGACACATGATTTTTTGTTTTGAGACAGGGTCTTGATATGTAATTTAGGCTGGCCTTCAACTCACCATGTAGCTCTGGCTGGCCTCGAACTCACAGTGATCCTCCTGCCTCAGCCTCCTGAGTGCTGGGATTACAGGTAGGTGTCACCATGCCCAGCTTGACAAACATGATCATTTCTACTTGGATAGCATTGTTCTCTCCAAGATGAGCTGATGTATTTTGGGAGTGGCAGGCAGGAGAGAAGGAATGGAAGGATGAGGGGGTGGGAGGAGGGATGGATGTAAGGTAGGAGGAACTGACAACTGAGGGAAGGAGCCAAGATTTGGTTCCTGGGGAAGCTAGTGTATCATGCATGATAAGGAGTCTGAACTTCATCATGAAGGCAGTGGGATGCTATTAAAAAGGAATGTGGTGGGCAAATAGCATTCTGCAAAACCCAGCCTGGCTTTATTGTGAGGACTAGAGGAGGGTAGAAACGAAGCAGAGAGGTCACAGAGGAGGCTACTGCAGTTAAGTCAGAGATGAAGCTCTGAACCAAGACAGAGACAGATGAAAGGGACAAGCCTTAGTTATTAGGTTGGTGTGGAAGTGAGGCAAAGGGTGATTCCTAGCCAAGGTGTCTGTTGCTGTCTGAAAAGGATATAAGGAGGTTCAAGGGAGCGGGTAGTAAGATGGTAGATTTGTGTGGGAAATGCTGACTTTAAGGTATTTGGGGAACATCCAAGAGGCTATGCATAGCAGGAAAGCAGCCTGGGATTCAGGATAAAAGCTCAGTAGTAGAGTGCTTGCTTAGCATTTTCGAGTCTCTGGATTCAATCCCACTAGCCCTGTACATAAATAACTTGAGTGGGGTGGCACACATCTGTAATCCCAGGCTGAGGTAGGAGGATTGAACTTCTAACCTAGCTCAGACAATTTAGCAACTTAGTGAGAACTTGTCTCAAAATAAAAAGTTTTAGGGCCAGGGATTTAGCTCAGTGGTTCTGGTGCCTGGCTCGAAAACGCAAGGTTCCGAGTTTGATCCCTGGTACCGAAAAAAAAAGAAGTAAAATAAAAAGTTTTAGGCCCGGGGATTTAGCTCAGTGGCACTGTGCCTGCCTTGCAAGTGCAAGGTCCTGAATTCAGTCCCTGGTACCAAAAAAACCCCCCACAAAAATCAAAAAAGTTTTAAAAAGGGCTGAGAACATACCTCAGTGTGAAGGCCTGGCATATAACCCCCCAGGGCTGGAAAACTAACTAAATAAATATAAAATATAAAAATAATTAAAAAGTCAAGAAAACAGTCTGAATTAAGACTCTGGAGTATGTCATTTTATTTACCCAGGACAAGCTTGCAGAGTCCAGACCACTGAGGGCTAGTCAGACAGCCCTGGTGATCACCAGTGTAAGGGTACAGCAGAGGAAGAGGGGACAGCATTTGAGACTGGAAAGAATAAAAAAGCTAATTGGAGAAGGAAGAGAAAGGTGAGAGGTCCATTACAGTGATGAAATAGTGAGAAGCCCAAGGAATAGACTACAGAAAAGATGGCTTAGTGAGCAGGGTCAGGTGAGATGAGAGGAAAAGAAGGCTACAGGGCTTGGCGACCGAGAAACTGCTGGTGGCCTTTGCTTAAGCTGTTCTGATAAAGCGGCAGATGGCTGTGGTGGTGTAGGTGGCTTGACTAGAAGGGGTGAGTTTACTGAAGGTAGGCCTTCTGCACTAGGCGATACTAGAGCTGTGCAATATGTCTGCCCGGTGAATAAGTTTAAAAACTTGGATTGAAGCTGGACGTGGTGTCACACACCTGTAATGGCAGCATTTGGGAGGCTGAGGCAGAATGGCTGGGAGCTTGAGGCCAGTTTGGGCTACACAGTAAGTTCAAAGCCAGCCTGAACTATATAGCATCTGAGACCTTGTCTCAAAAAGCAAAACAAGGCTGGGGATTTAGCGCAGCGGTTTTGCTGCCTGCTGTGCAAGCGCAAGGACCCGAGTTCAACCCCTGGTACCCCCAAAAACAACAACCAAACCAAAACAACAACAAAAAAAACCAAAACAAAAGAGGGCTGGGGATTTAGCTCAGTGGTTCCCCCACCTGCCTCCCAAGCGCAAGGTCCTGAGTTTGATCCATGGTACCAAAAAACCAAACCAAACCAAAAACCCACAAAAAACCAAAACCCTTGTATTGAAAAGGATAAGGGGAAGGAGGAGAAACAGTGGCAGAAGGAGAAACACCATTTATAGAATGTTTTAAGAGGCCGAGGCCAGTTTGGGCTACATAGTGAGACCCTATCTCAAAAGACCAAGTTCTGAGGCCAGGGATTTAGCTCAGTGGTTTTGCCGCCAGCCTCACAAGTTCAAGGACCTGAGTTTGATCTTCGGTAAAAAAAAGACAAAGTCCTGGGGCTGGGGATATAGCTCAGTGCACCACGCTTGTCTGGCAAGTGCAAGGTCCTGAGTTCAATTTCAGGTACCAAAAAAAAAGGACAAAGTTCAGTTTTAAAGCCAGGTTCCATGCCTATAATCCCAGCTACTTGAGAGGCTGGTGTATCACAAGTTTAAGGTCAGCCTTGGCGATTTAGCAAGATTCTGTCTCAAAGAATAAGCCGGGCATGGTGGCACATGCCTGTAATTCCAACACTTGGGAGGCTGAGGCTAGAGGATCACCATGAGTTTGAGGCAAGCTTGGGTTACACAGTGAGTTCAAGACCAGCCTGAACTACATGAGACCCTGTCTCAATTGAAAAAAAAAAAAAGGCCGGGGATTATAGCTCAGTGTAGAACTTTTGCCTAGCATGCACAAGGTCCTAGGTTCAATCCCCAGCTCTGCACCGCACCCCCTAGAAAGAACGTTTTGTTTAAAAAGATGTTTATAGGGCTGGGGATTTAGCTCAGTGGTGCCGCTGCCTGCCTCGAAAATGCAAGGTTCTGAACTCAATCCTCCATACCGGGGGAAAAAAAAAAAAAAAAGATGTTTATAGCCTGTAAAGGGGGTGGGTGGTAAGAGCCAGTAGAGGGAGAAAGTGAACTGGGTGAAGTGGTACACACCCATAATCCTAGCATTTAGGAAGGCTAAGGCAGGAGGATCTCAAATTAGAGGGCTGCCTGGACAATTTAATGAGACCCTGTCTGTAACTAAATAAATAAATAGGGAGAGGGTGACATTCTGACCAGTACCTATAGTATAGATGCTTTGGGCAGGATGATGGAAGGACACCTCATTCCCAAGGTAGAGTTGATGTGGGTAGAAGCAGCCATAGGAAGTGATGGTGAAATTATTTGCCAAGAGGAACAGTAACAGTGCAGGAGTTCCCAGAAAGTGCCTGAAGTCCTTTATTCACTTAATACATTGAGTACTTACTCTGCTGTGGAAAACAGGAGGAGCTGGGCCGAGGATGTAGCTCAGCAGCACATCACCTGCCTGGCAAGCACAAGGCCCTGCAGTTTGATTCCCAGTACCAAAAAGAAGAAAGAAAAAAACAGGAAGAGGTGGCCAAGACCTGTAGAAGGATGACCAAGTGCTACTGAAGGTGTGCTGCTGAAGACCCAAAGCAATCAGCTTTCTATTTTTTTTTTTTGGAAACAGGGTCTCGCTATATAGCTTGGGGTAGGTTTGAACTCTATGTAGTGCAGGCTAGTTTTGAACTCCCAGGAATCCTCTTGCATCAGCCTCTCAAGTGCTGGGATTATAGGTGTGTGCTACTGCATCTGGAAGCTTCCCTTTCTTTTCTTTTTTTTTTTTTTGAGACAGGATCTAGCTATGTTGTTCAGGCTGGCCTTGAACTCACTGCAATCCTGGAGTGCTGAGACTTCAGGTTGCACCACCTTGCCCGTCTGTTTCCCTTTCTTAAGCAAGGCTCTAATCTTCAAAGGACAAACCTATGGCTGGGGTGTAGTTTAGTGATAGGGCTCGTCCCTCACTTATGTGAGGCCCTAGATTCAATCCCCAGCACATCAGAAAGTTGGAGGTCTGCTTAGGGACACCCCCTGACCAGGCTCTACACTCATGGGACAAGTTGTGGAGCTGCCCTTCCTTGCCTCCATCCTAGCTCACTCCTAATCATAACCACAGCTCCAATGATGCTCCTTCCAAGAAGTCTTCCATAGTCCTTGACTCCCATCTCCAGTCTTGGCAGGTGGCCCTTATTCTGTGCTCCCTCTCTCTATCTGTATTACGCTAATATTGTGAACCTCCCCTGGCCAGGGATTTAGCTCAGTGGTTCCAGCGCCTGCCTTCCAAGCACAAGGTCCCAAGTTTGATCCCCGGTACCAAAAAAAAAAAAAAAGAAACCTCCCCTGCATCCCTCTCCTCTCCTCCTCCCTCAGCTGTGATGGGAGGGACTGTTGTTTAGTTTTTAGTTTTTTTTGTTTTTTTTTTGGTGCCGGGGATTGAACTCGGGTCCTTGCGTTTGCGAGGCAGGCTGCCTGCGGAACCACTGAGCTAAATCCCCGGCCCTTGTTTCAGTTTTTTGAGACAGGGTCTCACTACATAGCCCAGGCTGGCCTTGAACTCCCAGAGATCCTCCTGCCTCAGCCTCCTGAATGCTGGGATTAGAGGCCTGCACCACCACACCCATGTTGTGTTGTTGTTAGCTGTGTTGTTCTTTTTAAAGTCTCTGGATCTCTATGATGCAGCTGGGCCAAACTTCTCAGAACATCTTTGGTGAATGAGTGGCATGGGGAGGAAGCTGCTGTTGCCACTGCCACTCTGTACTCTCTTAGATGTAAACAGGTTACCCAGCTGGGAGAGAAGACATCTGCTGCCTGGGGAGGCACCTAGCACCGATGCATCTACCTTCTCTGAAGGTGGGTCCAGGAGAGCTGCGGCCTCGGGTCCTACCACTCTTCACTTAGGAAAGCTGGCCCCCTGGTGGAAGAGTGTGTTTGGTCCAGAAGGGGTTACCAGCTGCTCCATGCTTACCCTGTTCCGTACAGATGCACAAGAGTGTCCCTTCCTTAAGCCTGACCACATTACACATTTCCTTTGTAAAGCTTGTAGGGTGTAAGATAGGGTCTTGCTATGTGGTTCAGGCTAGCCTTAAACTCTCTATGTAGCTCAGGCTGGTCTGGAACTGTGACCCTCTTGCCTCAGTCTTCCGAAGTGCAGCCACTATGCCCAGCTCCTTTGTAGAGCCCTTTATTGTACACAAATACCTTTCACATGTGTGAAATGAGTCCTCCCCCAAATCCTGCAAATTGGGTATTACTACCATCCCATTTTGTGGCTAAGGAAATGAAGGCTCAGAGATGTAAAGTAATTTGCCCTAGGTCACCCAGCTAGTGAGCTAAGATTGAACTTGGGTCTGACTCCCAAGTACAGGGCATGTGGCACTGTGCTGCCTCTGTCCTTTTCAGCAGTGCCAGGAAAACTTGAGGTAGGGATGATACTTAAGGTCCTGCCACACATGCCTCTTCATTCCCCCGCCCTGGGAAAGTGAAAGGGAGCAGGAGGAAAGGAAAGATCACCAAGCGAATTGAGGTAGGATAATGGTAGGGACCTTCAGGGGAAAGTCAGGCCACACTGCTATCTCATCTCTCCAGCACTTTTTGGCCACCTGGCCTTCCATACCCTTGGCCTGGGTTAATTCCTGGCTGGTGGCCAGCATGAGGTCTTGCCCTAATTCTCCCCCTGGTGAGAGTTGGATAGAAGCACAGTCCTCATGGCTCATTATGGGGCTTAACCATTGTGCCCTCCCAGGCTGCCAAGGAACACAACAGTGCAGCCCACTTCCTCCCGGGGTGATCCCAAGCCAGGGGCACATGCAAGAGGGCCCCTTGTCCTCTGCCTGGAGTGTGAGATCTTGGGCTCCTGGCTCAGGAGTGGCACATGGAGATACCTAATGGGTTTATGTTTAATTCCATTTATGTTCTAGATGGTTCTAAGCGGAAAGCCCTTAGACTGGAGCTCTTGGACTGCTCTAAGCAGGCTCAGAGGTAAGGCAGCAAGGGTGGCCACAGAAGACTCCTGCAGCCGAGCAAAGGAGGCAGGAGCCTTTATTTAGGGTGTTTTCCTAATCCTAGTTCCCACTCTAGCAGCTTCTTTGTTTGCTGGCAAGATGGACCTGGCATCTGTGGTGCCTAACAGGGTAGAGTGGTGCAGGCTGGGGTGGGCTGTTAATTCTGTGGTTCTAGGAGAGAGAATGGGAACTTGAGTAAAGAGCAGGGGCAGAATGGAGGGGAGTGTGAGAAAAGGAAAAAGTGTCAGGAGGGGGAAGGAAAGGGGCTGGAAGAAGAATGAAAGTGGGCAGGAGAGGGAAGAGTAAGAAGGACCAGCCCAGGAGCTGAGTGTGATGGTGCATCCATTTTGGGAGGCTGAGGCAAGAGAATGGCAAGTTCTAGGCCAGCCTGGGAAATTTATCGAAAACTTGTCTCAAAATGAAAAACAAAGGGCTGGGGATGTAGCTCAGTGTGAAGGTCCTGGGTTCCATTCCCAGTACTGGGGAAAAAAAAAAAAGGCCGGGTGTGGTGGCTTTTGCCTGCAATCCCAGCATTTGAGAGGCTGAGGCAGGACTGCCATGAGTTCAAGGCCAGCCTGAACTGTATAGTGAGACCCCCGCTGCAAAAGAAACACACCAGGGCCGGGGATTTAGCTCAGTGGTTCCACTGCCTGCTTTGCAAGCGCAAGGTTCCAAGTTCGATCCCCAGTACCAAAAAAGAAACACAGAACAACAACAAGGCATGCCACAGTGGTCAGGTCTGTGCTTCTCCAGGCTTGGGTTGCCACACCATTGCAGGTTTTGGGGCCAGAGTGCATCAGGGCCCATGAGGGTTAGATATGCCCAGCAGCTGGTAATTCTTAGCCACTGGGTGAGGGTAGGAGTCAGCAGGCCTGGAAGGTGAACTCCTGTAGAAGGGAGGGGGGTTAAGTGGCAGGATGTCACATGGCAGTGAGCGGGACTTGGGAGGACCTCCTGTGTATGAGACAGGGCACCACACATTTTCCAAGGAGTCTGGAGGGGCAAGTGGCTTACTGCAATGGATGGGGAACAGGGCAGTGTTTTACCAGTATTGACAGAACTATCTGGGTGGGGGCAGATGAATTCAGTAAAGCCTTTAGACTGAGGATGCCCCTCCTCCCTCAGGTGAGTGCAAGGAGTCTGAAGGGTGCTGCTGGAAACACAAACAGTATTCTGGGCACATCATCCACCCCTTCTCTGACTGTGGCCACCACAACCTGCATCTGCATGCTGTCAGCCACTGTGACTGTGATTCCAGGTGAGGGTACCCTCCTTATAGGATCCATCGCAGAGCCCAGACTCTCATTGTATCTCCCTCTCAGCCTTTGGTTTCCCTCTTCAGCTTTGTCTTGGTACTGCTAGCCCAGCCCCAGCCTGGAAACCTTACTGTGCTCCAAGAGCAAGGGGGAAGTCTTTTGGTGGCCTAGCCAAGCCCACTATCCCTTTGGCTTCTCTCTCTGGACCCTTGGGGGATTGTGGGGGAGCCAGACTGAGAGTCCCATGTGTGGCAGGCAGAAGGAATCCTCACAGAAGGCAAACAGTACCACCTCTTGGGACTCAAGCTCAACCTGCTCCCAAGATGTGGGCTCAACCTGCTTCAACATCATCCAGAACCCTTGCTTTCCACTCATCCCAGAGGAAGAGTGTGTGGAGCGTTTCTGATATGGCTGGTGAGTGCGGGCAGGCTGAGGGAGGAGGGCCTCCAGGGATTCCACTCTGTCAACCTTCTCTTCATATCCCCCTCCTCCCAGGTGCAAAAGCTACAGGCCTGTCTCTGTGACAGTGATCCATCATCCCATTCACCATGAGTGTGGGACAGATGACCTAAATGAGGAAGAGGAGGAGGAAGAGGGGGAAGAAGAAAGCAAGCCTTCCATCCCAACCCAGGTGGGACCCATTGTTATGCCCACTGACCCAGGCAAGGGCAAAATCCCTGGTGCCCCTGACTCAGCAGCACCCATCACCATCTGGCGCTGAGAGCCCCACAGGTAAGAGCCAGGGCAATAAGGTGATCAAGAAGGTAAAGAAGAAAAAGGAAAATGAGAAAGACAAAGAGGAGGAAATGACAGATGAGAAGGCAAAGCTGAAGAAAAAAGCCAAGAAGGGCAAGTTGATGAAGAAGAAAAGTCCAGTGAAATTGGAGTTTTCACCTGCAGATTTGAGCCAATCATTAAGCTCAAGAGAGTTGGCCTGGATGTCAGAGTCCAGCTCAGAAAGCCGAGGAGACCTGGAGAGTGAAGACAGTTACCATAACAGGAGGCAGCAGGAGCCCTCCAGTGAGGGTATTATGGAGTCATCATCGCCCAGAAAAAGAGAGACGAGCACTACCCAGGCCAAGAAGAATGGGACAAAGACCTCTTCACAAGCCAAGAAGGTGACCAAGAGGAAACCTCCCCCAGTGTCCAACCCCAATCTCAGTTGAGGGCAGGGTGAAGAATAAATGGCATCAAGCCTGTAGCTGACCTCCTGTTCTCCTTCCAACAGGGGTACTTCTTGGGGGAGGCAGTGGGCTCTGGGCATACTGGAGCCAAGGGTCAGGGACTTCAGGGGTTTTCTAAGGCCAATGCAGCTTCCAAGGAAGTCAGTCCATGGGAAGATTGGTGGAAGGGAACTAGGGGGCACAGCTGTTTCTTTGTAACATCTAAGGACCAAGGTGGAAGGGTACCTCTGGGGTTGGGGCAGGAGGGTAGACTTTCTAGCCCTGGGAGACTGGTATGTGTGAAACCCACTTCTGGGATAAGGCAGCGCTGAGCACCAATACCAGCAATAAACCGAACTTTTTCACCCTCTGCCACTGTGCCTGGCCTTTCCTTCCTTAAGTGGCCCTAGAGTAGATGCTCATGGCACCACAGGGGACATGACCTTCCTGGCTGGTGTAGTCCTGTTCCTACTGGACCCTTGTAGACCTTTTGTGCCTAAGATGGAACTGAGTTCCCAGCAGCAGGCCAGCCCCTTCCTCTGGCTCTTGCCAACACACAGCCGAAAAGGTCCTGAATGAAGGGGAGGGAGTTCACCAAGTCTGGGAAGCAGTGGTCTTTTCTGACTCTGCTTTGCCCCAAGCAGAGGAAAGGGAGGGAGGGAGGGAGAAGCCTCACTGTCCCAGCACTGACTCACAAAAAAGCTGTGAAATGAAACCCTTGTGAGAAAACTGGATTCAGAACAAAAAGGCAGTGGTGGGGGGAGAGAAACTGGACTGGAGCCAGAAGGCTGGCTGGGGCCAAGGCAGGAAAGGGGATGGGGGTGGGCAATGGCCTCCCCTGTAACATCCCAGTTCCCCTTCCCCAGGCCTCTGTGTTTGTGTGGGAGCACAGCAAGCACATGTGTGTAGGGCAGAAACCCCCAATTTACTTAGAGGTTGTCAGAGACTAAAGAACTGCTGAGCAGAGGGAAGAGAGGGTGGTACAGGGGCTCAAGTTAAGAAACCTAGATTTACTTCGGGAAGCCCCTTCTCCACTATACAGGGAAGACCAGTGGACAGCAGACAGGCAGCTGCATGTGTGTGATAACAGTGGCTCATATTTCTGAAGCACCAGGCACTGGGCTAAGCAGTTTACACCTGCAATGTCTTCACAGTAGACTGATAATGCAGGTGTCACCATCTCCCTTTCAATTTTAGTGTATGTGCTGCCCAAGCGAGCACACCCATCCCTTTCAGATAGGAAAGCCAGCTTAACCCAACAACAGCTGGCACAGGATCACAGGCTCAGAAGGAGGGCAGGATGGTGACCTCAGGCAGTCTGAAGCAGAAGCTATCTGCTCTTCTCTGAATTCTCACCTCTCTGAGGATCAGAAGAGGGACTCAGGGGAACCTCAGAGAGCTTCAAGCTCTGCTTTGAAAGCCACCTGTCCAAAAGCAGAGAGCTGGAGAGAGGGGCTTTAGCAAGTGCTCTGTAGAAACACTGTTTATTCAAATGACAAGCAGGAAGCGCAGTGGCAGCAGGTGGGTGACCAGGCAGGGGCTGGTAGGTTAGCACTGTTCCCTTATGTCCCCTAAAATCCTGCTTTGACAGCCACCAGGATGTTATCAGGATGAGAAACACTTTCCCTCCTCTCCCTCCTGCCCCAAACTGAATAAACAGCATCCCTCTCCCCACAAGGGCTGGGGGAAACACACATGCTGAGCTTGGTGCCCCATCACAGCCCAGAGTCAGGTGAGGGCAGAAGCTCAAAATGGCTTGTATGGAGTAGAATACAAAACTGCTCCACTCTCTCATCTTCTTCTTCCTCCCTGCCGCACTCCCTCCCAGCCTGGTCCCAGGACGGGTGGTAGGTGAGGGTCTGAAGTGGGAAAATTGCTGCCTGGCATATACTGAGCTCAAGCTCACAAGGCCATCAGCCTGTCACACATCCAGGCTGACTACCAAAAAGAATGCCACTTCACACCACTTATGGACAGAAAAAGAGGGGCAGGGAGTGGGGCAGTGGCAGGCTTTTCACAGCCTCAGAGGTAACCAGAGTCCAGAAAGCAGGCCTCCTACCGATCCATCTCGTCCAGGAGTGGGGTGGCATCGCCAGCAATGGACATGGGGGTGCTTTCGATCATGGGACTGGGGGAGGGCCGAGGTGTCAGCCGCTGCTTCTGTTTCCGCCGTTCTGCTTCCTTCTCTTGCAGCCACTGCTCTGCCATCTTTCCCCAGTCAATGGCTGCGTGGCTGTTGGACCTAGAAGGGAAAGGAATGGCCTTTGAGATAGTATTCTTCTGGGGCTGCTGGAAGGAAGCCTTTCTACCAGTCACTGGTGAGTGGCCACCCTCGCAGAGAGAACAAGCACAGGCAGCAGCCTCTCTGCTGTGGCAGAGCAGAAGCAGCAGTGGCCAAATACCACAATGCCCTTTTTTTTTTGGTACCAGGGATCGAACTCGGGTCCTTGTGCTTGCGCACCAGGCGGCAAAACCACTGAGCTAAATCCCCGGCCCCAACACAATGCCCTTTTGATCTTCCACTATAAATCATTGCCCAAGTCCTCACACAGGCCTCAGCTCTCAGAGGATCAGGAGCACCTTCGTGTGTTAAGGTCCTCTGGTCCTCATGATAACACCTGTTCCTACCAATAACTTGTCCTGTACAGCCATCTGTATACTTACTTTGGCTGCTGCTGCCGTTGCCGGGAGCTGGAGGAGGGCTGGGGCTGGGCCTGGGCAGACTGTGGAGTGGTGCTGGCTTGGAGCTGGTGGTACTGTGGTGTGGTGATGGGCTGGCTTGGGGTTGTGTAGGAATAGCTGGGGGTCATCAGTGGTGTGGCCACTGGCTGCTGGGCTGGCGTCGGGAACACCTGGAGAGGCATAGACAGATCAGTGGAGATGGGTTCTGGGCTTGTTTGGTTTTGATGCAAATTTCTGGGATCTGCAAGGGTGGGCTCAGCACAGAGCTTTGCAGTTGACTGACCAGCCCCTGAGCAGAGTGTGGTTCTAAGGAGCAGGAGGAGGCCAGCTGTAAGGCACAGACACACAAGGCCACCAGTCCTGAACACCTCAGATTTCTAGTGGCTAGAGGGTTCCAAATATCTCAGAAGAGTCTAGAAAAGCAACCCCCTGCCTCTTATTTCCTTCCCTATCAAATGGGCTAGAGAAAAGGAACATCCTATTGGAGTTGGTACTTAAGGCTGAGGCAGTCCCATCTATGCAAATGAGGCTCCTCAAGGTGGACATGCCAGAGAGTTCTAAGGGATATAAGTTGGTAAGACAGAATTATTCCCTCATTCCTCACCACCCCATGCAGGAAGCCTCCTCCCGAAGACACATACGTGGTAAGCACTGCTGCCTCCTCCACTGCCACCATAGCCATACTGGCTGGAGGCCCACTGGGCTGGGGTGGCATTAGGGTTCTGACCCTGGCCTGTCACAGCAGCGATGGCACTGAACATCTGTGAAGTCATATTCTGGGGGAGGGCATTCACAGCCCTCGTTAGATCTGTAAGAGGAGAGGCGAGGATCAGCATGTCAGAGGCGAAAGTCCTTCCAGCTCCATGCCTCCCAATCCCAGCTCTGGGTGCCCCACCTGCAAGGTTGATATTGGCTGGGGTAGCGTTGATAGAGGCAGGAGTCCTTGTCCTGCTGCTGCTGCTGGGGGTGATACCTGTGGGAAATGGCTGGAGTTAGTTTTTTCCCTTCAGAAATCTATTTTTGGCTTCGCAATTCAGGGGTTGGGAGAGGTAGGAGGATAATCTGTAGAGGTCCAGGGGATAGAGGACAGCCTACCAAGGCCTATACGTGTCCTTCCAACCATATCTTAGACGTCCAGGGAAAACAATTTACCTGGTACGGGATCCTGGTAGTGATCCTTAAACCATCTGAAGAGCCCATTCACAGTTGGGAAGATTTGGCCCCGGTACCGGAATCCTTCCGGAGTCACTGTTACATATTCTATCCTGGGATTTTAGAAAGAAACATGTATCAGTATCACTTAGGGTAGCTGTGACAGTGACCAGAATGGATGTCCACCATGTGAAGTAGCGGGGGAAAGGAGATGACAGAACCTGTTGCTGGCCCTGTGAAGCGAGGCTGCATGCAGCCGAGTACAGTGAAGGCCCAGGAGTCAGTGGCCCATGTGCTGCACACAGGCTGCCCAAGGAAGGGTGTCTGAAGGTTGTGCCACCACACAGATGTAGTGTGAAGGCAGCAACTACAGGTGAAGGGGAAACACAGGACAAAGAATGTCAAGGTCAGAAGAGGGCCCCCAAGGTGGCAAAGTACCATGCTCCCTACTCAGGGGGTCTTTCTTCAGTGGCCCTAGAAAGTAGTTAGTTTGCCCTTATTCAACACTTCTGAGAGCAGGAGAATAGCTAAGAGGAGGGGCCCTAGGTTCAGGCCTGGTTCTTGTTTTAGTTTAAACTCTGCCACTTACCACCTATGTAACACTGTAACAAGTTACTAAATCAGAATTTGTTTCATTTGTAAAATAAACATAATAGCACTTAAACCCACAGTGTGCGTGTGGGGACTGAGAAAGCATACATAAAGCGCTTACCACAACACCTAACTCAGGGTTGCGCTCAATCAAGGAGAGCTATCAAGAGGCAACAGACAATGCCAAGTATGGCAGAGTTCTCATTTACATTCAGCCAAAACCTGGTTCCTAATCTTCTCCAAGTATGAATTTTGCCATACTTGGAGAATGTGCAAGAAGTCTGTGTTCCTTTCCATAGGAAGCCATCATGACAGATCTGCTCCTGGTTACAGGGCCCCAGCTCACTCAGCTGTTCCTCATGGGACAGTTACCAGCCCCACACAACCTTGGCTGTTATCTTCTGGAAGCATTTTGGTGGAAAGGCTTCTCAGAAGGGAATACAATATTCCAGATGTGCCCAACATGGGGGCCCAGAGTATGAGGCTTTGTCATTTGGCCCCCAGCCCCACTAATACAGTCTGAGTTGTGTTTCACATGTGCTCAGTACAGGGAAAAGAGCAGAAATGCATATGACTTGGCCAAGGGCCAAGAGAAGGATGGAGGTAGGGCTTGGGGAAAGAAGACTGGTGTGATCACTAGTGTGTGCAAGAGACACAGAAGGTAGGCCTAAGGAAACGACTTTCCTCCAGCTTCAGGGTGAGCTAGAGAGACACAGGTAAAGGGATACCTCATGAAGGGCAGCCTGCTAGTCATACACAGAAGAGGCAGAGGAGGAGAAAAATACCCCCGGACTGACATCCTTCAGTGTGGGCACAAAAGCCAGTACACTGCAGCATCAGTGAACCACCCATGTGCTGAGTTCTCGGGAGGGTAAAGCAGGGAATGGCAAGAGGCCAGTGTGCCGCCCCAGTCTTGCACCTATGAGTGTCTGGGATTCCCATCAC